CTTTGTTTGAAAAAGACTGCTTTAATTTAGTAAAAGTCTGTACAAACCTTAGTGTGCTGCGTTCTTTGGGGTTCGTAGCTGGGGCAGAACAGGCTGCTCTGGGCCCCCCTGTTTGTTTTTGGCTGCGCACGAAGCCTTTCAGAGCTGGCTTTCTGGCTGCGGTGGGCAGTCTGGGTTTGCCCGCCTGCCTAGGCAGGAACGGGGGGAGGGGGGGACTAAACTGTCTGTGTCTGCATGTGGGAGGTCTCAGGGGCTGCTGTTCCAGCTGGAAGCAGCTGTGGGGTTTTAGGGTGCACAGAGAGGGGGAGGGGGTCTGCCCCTGGATTGGGCCGGCTTCTGACCCACCTCCGCATCGGCTGTTTCCCCTCCCCCCCCCAGTGAGCCTGAACAGCGCGTGGAGGGAGCTGGTCCCCCAGCGGCCGCCCAACAGCCTGGTCTCTCCTCAGCTGCTGCTCTCCGTGCTCGGCCAGATCCTTCTGTCGCTGGCCTTCCAGGTGGGGGGCTTCCTCCTCGTCCAGCGGCAGCCGTGGTACCTCCAGGAGGATGAGTAAGTGGGGGGCTGTGTGGGTGCGGAGCGTAGGAGATCACCGATCTGAGCCCGAGGGAGGGAGGGGTGAAGCACGTCATCAGTCTCCAATCCCTTTGTGCCCACAAGAGATCTGAGTCCAGCCCTCCTTGAATTCCACCGACTCTTCTCTGCCGCCAATTTGCTTTGACTGTTACTACAGGTAGTCCTCGACTTACAACCACAATTGAACCCAAAATTTCTGTCACCAAGTGAGACATTTGTTGTGAGTCTTGCCTTCTTTTACGACCTTTCTTGCCACAGTTGTTAAACGAATCCATTCATTTAGTCATTAATTAAGTGAATCACAGTAACGTGGTCGTTAAGCGAATCCAGCTTCCCCATGGGCATTGCTTGTCAGAAGGTCATTAAAAAGGGGATCACGTGACGTCAGGACCCTGTGACCGTCATAAATACGAGTTGGTTGCCAAGCGTCTGAATTTTGATCAGGGAGCGTGCAACGGTCATAAGTGTGAAAAACTTTTTTTCAGTTCCATTGTAACTTCGAACGGTCACTGAGCGAAGTGTTGTAAGTCGAGGACTCCCTGTAGTTCAGGTTCTTGTAGAGCAGTGTTTCTCAACCTTGGAAGCTTGAAGATGGGTGGACTTCAACTCCTAGAATCCCCCAGCCAGCGCTGCTGGCTGGGGGATTCTGGGAGTTGAAGTCCACCCATCTTCAAGCTTCCAAGGTTGAGAAACACTGTTGTAGAGGGTTTCAGCTTGCAGTAAATCTTTATGGGTGGGTCATCCTGCTGTCCCCTGTCCTGGGCTGCTGCGATGACCACTCTTGCTTCCCCCCGTAGGAGCTGCAGCGGCCTCTCCCCCAACGGCTCAGCCTCTCCAAACGCCACGGCCCCCCCAGATCCCGGAGGCCAGGACCCCGACTCCGTGTGCAGCTACGAAAATACCACCCTCTTCTTCCTCTCCTGCTTCCAGTACGTCTTCGTGGCCCTGGCCTTCTCCAAGGGGCGCCCCTTCCGGCAGCCCACCCAGACCAACGGTGAGGGGCTGGCTCCGCCGGACACTCCCCCTCCCCCTCCCCGGGCTGGGATTTCAGCCCCTGGGTTGACACAGGGTGACGTTTAGCCAGGGTTTAAGTGGAAATAGGACAACAGGGAGATCCCTCATTCTGTTGTCCCAAAGGTGCATTTTCCTTTGAAGACGTTTTGCTTCTTATTCAAGAAGCTTCTTCAGCTTCACACTCACAGAGCTGAAGAAGCTTCTTGGATGAGAAGTGAAACGTCTTCGAAGGAAAACCAGAAAGTTCAGTTGCCTCTTTAAAAAAGGACAACCATGACTTGGATGACTGAGAATCTCCATACACATCCTAAATTCTATCCTATCCTATCCTATTTTCTATTCCATTCCATTCATTCTCTTCTATGCTTTATTCTATTCTATTTTTTGTTTTATCCTATCCTATCCTATTCTTATTTCTATTCCATTCTATTCTTTATTTATTCTATATTCTATTCTGTTCTCAGGATAGAGCTGGAAGGGATAGAATTGAATCGAATTCTATCTTATTTCTATTTATTCATTTTATTTACACTTAGTCCTTGATTTATGACCACAATAGAGCCCAAGCTTTCTGTTGCTAAGTGAGTTCTGCCCCATTTTACAACCTTCCTAGCCAATTCAGTGAATCCCTGCAGTTGTTCAGTTAATAAGACGGTTGTTAAGTGAATCCAGCTTCCCAAAGGGGAATCACATGACTGCAACCATCATAAATATGAGTCCGTTGCCGAGTGTCCGAATTTTCATCACGTGACCACAGGGAGGCTTGCCAGGGTCGTAGGTCTCTTTTTTTCCGTGCCGTTGTAACCTTGGAGAGTCACTCAATGGCCTGTAAGCCAAGGGCTGCCCGTAATGCGCTTGTGTGGCCCTTACGATTTGGGCCACAATCTTTTCGGCCCCTCTCTAGACTGGGGGGCTGTCCCCCAAAGCCCCCAACCCAAGTGACCCCGGGCTCCCTCTCCTGCAGGCCTCTTCCTGGCCTCCCTGCTGCTTGTCTCTGGCTTCCTGCTGCTGCTGCTGCTGTGGCCGCTGCCCGCCCTGGACAGGCTGTTCCAGGTAGGCCCCTCGCCTGCACAGGGGAAGACGTGAGGGACGTGGCCAGCAGGCACCAGGCTCTGGGCTGCCCCCGGCCCGGCCCTCTTATCTGGGCAGCTGCCTCCAAGGAGGGGCGGCAGATAGACGTGGCCGCCTCCCTCCGACGCCCTGCCTGGAGCTGATGGCGGCTGCAGGAGGGAAGAGGCTTCAAGGGGAGGGGGCTCATCTCAGCAGCCCGACCCCGGTGCCAGCCATGCCCCTTCCCCAGGAGAGAGGCCATCCCCTCCCAGAAGGAGCTCTGGGTCTTGAGTGGGGGGGCATCCCAATGCCGCCCATTCAGAAGCTCAGCATTCCTACTCCCTGGGGGAGGCCCCAGGATCTGGGGGAGATTACAGGAATGGGGAGCCAAAGGGATGAAGAGGCCATTATACAGGCAGTCCTCAATTTACGACCACGAATTTCGGTGAAACGTTTGTCAAGTGAGTTTTGTCCCATTTTACGATTTTCCTTGCCCCCGTTGTTAAGTGAATCACTGCAGTTCAATGAATAACACGGTCATTAAGCGGATCCGGCTTCCCCCTTGATGATGCTTGTCAGAAGGTCGCAAAAGGGGATCACGTGACCCCTGGACGCTGCGACCGTCATAAATATGAGTCAGTTGTGCCATCGGAAGTGTGAAAAATGCTCATAACTCACTTTTTTCAGTGATGTCGTAACTTTGAACGGTCGCTAAACGAATTGTTATAAGTCGAGGACTGCCTGTACATTTTGGTCAGGGTGGAGGGGGCGCCAGAAACAAAGCAGGAACAAGTCTCTCCCTGTTTTGAGTTGCTCTCCCAGGCAGGAGCCCAACAGGGCATAGGCCCTACCTGTGAACTTCCACCTGCTGTCTCCGCAGCTGGCCTGCATCCCCTACGAGTGGCGCCTGGTTCTGCTGGTCCTGGCATTTAGCAACCTGGTGCTCTCCCTCTGCCTGGAGGTAACAACCGCCCCCCCCGTTCCCCTCGCTTGGGGGGCAGGAGGGAGGCTCCGAGTGGGGAAGGGAGCCCCCGCCCCAAGTCCTTCCACGACTGACTACTCTGTCTCCTGGACCCCCAGAACTTCGTCTGTGACTGTGACGTCCTTTGGCAGCAGCTCTGCTATGGCCGGCGGAAGGAGGACTATCCCAGGCAGGCCGCCTTCCCACAGGTAGAGCCCTTCCATTTTAGGGTGGGGGCAAGGGGACCTGCAGCTTGGGAATTCGGCTGCTGAACTGCAAGCTGATCAAAAAAAGTATGCGAGGGGGGGGAGAGGGGGGCTCTGTCTTGCACAGAAGCCATTGACAGGCAGAAGAGCCCCCCCCTCCCAATCTGGTTGAAGCCCCCCCCTCAGGCTTTGCAACCAAAGAGACCCTGTGGGTGGGAGTTGGGGGGGCGGACCAAGAGCTACCAAGCTAACTGCAGCCCTTCGGATCCTTATTTGATTGTAACAGCCCACAATGTTTGCGGAGTTGCACAACCTCCTGTTTTGGGGGGGAGGGGGGGCTAGGAGAGGGAGGGGGCCTGGGGCTCGCAAGTGACCATCTGCAGGAGGGGTGAGTGGCTGAGAGGCAACGGGGGGGGGGGGGGGCAGCTCTGGTCCCTCAGCCTGGCATCCATCAAGAGGCCCGAGTGCCAGGCTCGCTGCCACCTGCTGCCTTTCCTGAAGCCCAGCCGGGCACTCAGAGGCTGCTGCCCCTTCTGTGCCCCACAGCTGGAGTTGGGGGAGACGGACCCTGTGTCTTCCTGCTGCCGGCAGGCGGCACCCAGGGCCAAGTACCAGCGCCTGGCCCAGGAGCTTCTCTTCGACCCGGACTGGCCCCCGCCGCCGAAGAGCAGCACGCGGGCGAGGGTGCCTCCCACCGAGGCCCACGCCTGAGCGGGCCCTTCTGGTGGGCACAGGGTGGAGCCCCCACCGCCCCAAGCAGGATGCCTCCCCGGCCAAGAAGCGCCTGCAGAAGGAAGGGAAGCCGGGAGCCGCCAGGATGGAGCAGCAGTGGCCCTCCAGCCCCCTCCCCAGCTGGGGTTGCCACATGGGTGGGGGCTTCCTTGGAGGCGGAGGAGATGGGGGTCTCTGGGTGTCCAGAAGAGCCTGGCTTGGGGGGCAGGCAGGAGCTTCTCGGCCGCCTTCGGCTGAATTCATTGGCTGGGAAAGTGGATTGTGGAACTGGTGCCCCTGCCTCCGACAGACGTTCAGGACTGGGGGCCTCCGGCTCCATCCAGACGGTCCCTCCCGTCCATTTCCAGTTGCGGAGAAATTAAACGGGCGACCTCTGCCTCTGGGCTGCTCTCCGTCTTTGGGCTCGGGGGAGGGGGGGTCTGGGCGGGGGGCTCGGGGCAGCGGCGGCGTCCGGGGCGGGCTGCGGGCGGAGCGCTGCGCCTGCGCGGGGGAGGCGGCGGCGGGGACTCGGCCAGAGGCGCCACGACAGCCGCGCAGCCCCCGCTCGCTCCCCCTCGCCATGTCCGGCGTGCAGCGCATGAAGGTGGCCAACGAGCGGCACAGCAAGAGCATCACGCAGCGCGGCGGCCCCCACCGAGCCCCGGTACGGGGAGGGGGGAAGGCGGGGGTGGGGGGGCTGGGAGGGGGCGGGAGCGGACCGGCTTCTAACCCCCCCCCACCCGCCATCTCCCCCTCCCCCCCAGGCCCCGCAGGAGGAGAAGGCGCCGGTGGGGCCGTGGCTGCTGGCCCTCTTCGTCTTCGTGGTCTGCGGGTCAGGTAGGCTGCGACCCCCCCCTCTCCCCGCGGGACCCCTCGAGGTCCTCTGGCCGCTCCACGGGGCAGCCCCGCCCCTCCAGGTGCGCTGCACGCGGCCAGGAGCCCTGCCTCCTCCTCCTCCTGCACAGCAGCCCCTCGCAACGCCGGGCCGGAGGGGCCGGGGAGGACCTTCTCTTGCCGGCCTGCCCCTGACGGCCCCCTCCCCTCCCCTCCCCTCCGCTTTCCCCTGCCAGCCATCTTCCAGATGATCCAGAGCATCCGCCTGGGAGGCTAAGCGGCCGATGGAGCGGCGGTCCCGGCACCGGCAGCCCTCAGGGACTCTTGGAGGGGGGCCGCCTTTTCTGGACCCCCCTGGATATGTTTACAGCCATGAGCGTCGTCTTCCTTTGCTTGCCGCCCCAAAGCGACTCCCGCCGCCCCCTTGTCTCCGGAGCCCCGCCGGGGTCTCGCGGGCCCTGAACTGAAGGACGGGGCGACCCCTGGCCCGGGGCGCTTCCTGAGGAATTGGAGCGGTTGCTTACGAGGAAAGGCCGGGGGTCTGCTCTGGAAGCTGCTTTTGCTCCGTGTGTTAAGCCCACCGCCCCTTTTCCCTAGCCATCAAACCGTTGAGCTGCTGAATAAAAGTATTACCATCTTGGGCAATTTGCCACAAGCCGAATTCATGTGATTTTGTAAGAAAGCGCTGCTTTCCTGCCAGCTGCAAGACCCCCCCCCAAAAAAACCCAGCAACTACATTTCCTGCCCTCTCAAAGGGGGTCTTCCAGAAGAGAGTCCAGCATCCCTCGTGCCCCGCGGTTCCTGCCGTCTGACCAGAGCTCGGGGTCTGTTTATGTCAGCCACATCAGAAGCCTATAAAGGCCTCCCCACCTGACCCTCATCCTCAACAGCTGGACTGCAGCCTGGTCACTCCACTCTCGGGGGTGAGGCAGCTCCTGATGTGCCAGTGAAGCAGCTCAAGAGAGGATAAAAGTGCTTAAAGAGAGGGAGGGGCTCTGCTGAGCCTGCCAAACTGCCTTTCAATCCCAGAAGTGGCAAAAGCCCCTCAGAGCAACAGCTGGAAACTGCCGAGATGCTCTGGCTCTAAGGGAATAATAGGGAATTATTCTGGAGAGAGAGAAGTTGGGCTCCGACACCAGCCCAAAAGTTCACAGAAGAATAAACTTCTGGTCCCAGAGACCGACCCAGACTGGATCCTGCACCGTTATAATGGGACACATCGTTCGCGCAATAGGGCATGTCGGCAGGCCAGGGGTGAGTTTGTCCTTCCTCTTGAGTTCGAATCCTTGGAGAGCCAAGAAGGGTGTGAGGGTCCCAAGCCTTTTTCCTTACAAAGTGTCCCATGAAAAGTCTCCAGACTGACTTTCGACCAAGGAGGGCAAAAGCCTCCATCAGTGGGAGTTTCGTCTCTGGGCACTGCCAGTGGGGCTCTATTTGGGCCTCCTGGGGCTTTTTTCGAGCTTCCCAGCTCTTTTAGCCCTGGGATTTCCCGGTGGTCTCCCATCCAAGTGCAACCCCAGATCTGCGCCTGCTCAGCCTTTTGCGGATGAATGGGGGTTATTCAAGTGTCGTAAAGGAGGTGGTGGCCTAAGGACGTAACGAAGGAAGCAGAATTTCCCCCTTTCTGAGGTTGCAATGGGGAGGAAAGCGGAACAAAGTTTGCAAAGTCTGTAAAAGGAGAGGAACCCCCCCAACTGAAAACAGTCCAGGAAGTCCCGCCTCCTTCCACGTGGACAGGAAGAGGTATCAGAACCCGCCAATGACACCTTGTGGGGTCTGGGAGATGACTCTTCACTTTCCTAGCTCTCCGGTCACCGCTTTGGCGGACTAGTCAACCTAGCTGCCTCTCTAGGCTTCCCTCGCCTTTATGGTGAAACGCGCTTGGCCCAAGCGTTTTCCGGAAATAGACCTCCAAGAGGCTAGAGCGTCCTTCTAATAAGCAACACGGTCTCTCGCTCTCTTTCCTTCTAAGTGGGGCTACATCCAGGCGACCAGCCGCCAATTTGGCCCACATGGCCGTGGATGATGGGAACTACTGTCTCCCCTAAGCATTGCACAAGAGAAGACCTGGCGGGCTAGAGAACCGCCAGAAGCTCGCTTAGCCCCCCCCAAAGGGAGGCGGGGTTTCCGGCGCATTTGACCTCGTCTGGAGGCGGGGCCGGAAGTGCGTCCTGCAGACGCGGCGGGCTTCCGGCGCGGGGAGCGAGGTGACCGCGCCGCCGAGGCCGCCTTTCGGATCCTGAAAATCAGCGGCGCCTCCGATCGCCGGTGAGGAGCGCGGCGGCCTCCCGGCCCGGCCCGCCATTTCCCTCGCGGGGTCCCCCCTGGGCTGGGAAGGGCCCCTCGGGAGCTCCCGCCCGCCGCTCCCATCATCCCCGGCCGGCGCGGCTGTGGCTTCTGGGGCCCCGGGGGCGGCGGGCCTTGGCCTCCCCGCAGCGCTTCAGCCCGCTTGGGCCCGCCTCGAGTAACGGCCGCTGCGGAGGGAGGGAGGGAGCTCGGCCAAGGGTGTTGTTTGGGGTGGGTGGGTGTATAGATACGCAGGTCTTTGGTTATTCGGCTTTTCTCCCACGTAAAATTGGAGGTGTCTTGGCGACCTTTCGACGAAGTCTCATTCGTCATCTTCAGGCTGCTGTTTTCGGCTTCGTGCTTCTAGGAGCAATGTGTGGTCGCAGCTGTTTCTCCTCAGAAAACCTCAGAAAACACACACACACACACATATATATATGTATGCAAAAAAATTAAAATCTCGGGTGTTTTCCCGCGTCATTATAAATAAATTGGTTAAAATATTTAAAATCCTGGTTAAAATCCCAGTTCTTCTAAAAATCCTTACAGAGCACTCTGCAAGGTCCTTTAAAACCTCAGCTAAAATCCTACCAGTGACTTTAAAAGTTTTTCTTAAAGCAACGTTTCAACAGGCTCACAACCCTGTCATCTTCAGGCTCTTGTTTCATTTAGAAGCTATGGGTTCTAAATATTTTAACCAACTTATTTATAATGACGCGGGGAAACACCTGAGATTTTAATTTTTTGCATATGCACACCCACGAAAACTTAATAAGACTATATACACACACACACACACACACACACACACGTGTGTGTGTTTGTTATGCATACATATACACGTGAATACTACACAGGTAGTCCTCGACCTACAGCGGTTCATTTAGTGATTGTTGGGAGTTACCCTGGCATTGAAGAAGGTGACCTATGATGGATCTCCCACCGGCACCTGATCAAAATCGGGACCCTTTGCAACTTAACTCACAGGTTATGATGGTTGCAGCGTCCCTTTGGCCACCTTCTGAGGAGCAAATTCACTGGGGAAGCCACTCAGAGTCCCTTAACAACCAGGTTACTAACCTAACAACTGCTGTGATTCACTTAACAGGTGGGGCAAGAAAAGTTATTAAATGGGGCAAAATTCACTTAACAAATGTCTCGCTTAAGAACAGAAATTTTGGGCTCAATTGTCGTAAGTCAAGGACTATCTGTGTGTACGTATATATGTGTATATATATATATATATATATATGTTATCGATATACTCTCTTTTTTCTTGTTTATTTTCTTGTCCTATTTTACTTTCAATTTCTTTCAGTTTCCTTTTTATGTTTTCGTTTTTATTATTGTGTCTGCCTAGAGTAGCCTCGGGGTCAAATAGGAAGCAAGTAAGATAATAATTATAGGGCTTTTTTCTTGACGTAAAATACAAGTAAGGACATTGGGAAAGGAAAGAAAAGGGAGGGAATAAGATGAGGGAAATGGGGGGGGGAATAAAAAGGGAGGAAAGAGCAGTGACTTCCAATTTTTTTCGGTGCAGTAAAATCCTTAATAAAGGTATAATATCAACTTTTTAGTTTTGCCAAATAATAATCACTGTTTCTATAACAACAGCCCACCGACGAACTCCTGGGATGTTGTAAGCTGCCCAGAATCCCTCAACAGTGAGATGGGCAGCTTATAAATTTAATAGTAAATAAACTCCTGCAAACACAGGATCCTTTCCCCCACCCTCCCGAGTTCTTGAAAAGTAGTGGGGGGTCCTTGAAGCTTCCTGGTTGCTAAGAGAAGCTGGGCGTGGTTTAGCGCTCATGCCCAGGGTCCTTCTGCTCCTTCCGGGCAATCCATCCATTTCCCCTGCAGGCAGACTGATCTCTGCTTCCTTCTGTCTTTGTCCTCCCTCCTGCTCTCCAGATGGTCTTGACCCACCGCAATGGGGGACAGCGATGATGAATACGATCGCAGGCGCAGGGACAAATTCCGACGCGAGAGAAGTGACTACGATCGCTCTCGAGAGCGAGATGACCGACGCCGAGACGACTGGAGTGACAGGTGATCCCTGGGGAACAGAAGGAGGACAGGGAGGGGGAGGGGAGATGGAGAAAGGCCCAAACAGACTGAAAGCTCTTTTTTGCCTTTGGGACCACTGGACAGGCCTTCAATTTGGAAAGCAGATAGGACTAATAAAGGACAATATTTGCAGCTCAGGGTTGAAATCAGGAATCGTCGGTATTTTCTGAGCTGGGCTGTTTTCTTGCAGATATTTCATGACCCAACTAGGTTATACCATCAGTACTAGAAATGTAAGCCCCACTCTCTTCTAGCGCTGATGATGTTCCCTAGTTGGGTCTTAAAACGTCTGCAAGAAAACCACACAGCTCAGTGAGCACCAAGGACCCACAGTTCTCCTCTTCTTCCTCCTCCCCCATGAACCCCACTAATGATAGCACTAATGATATTGTCTAGCTATGGTAATGAAATATCTGCAAGAAAACAAGCCAACTCGGACACCACCAAGAAGCCCTCCAGCAGGTAGAAATATATGCAGGGTTTGCGAGCAAAGAGACATGCACAAAATACGTTGAGGCTTTTACCCATACGTATGGAAAGAATCGTTCTTTGTCCTGCCAGTTGCCAAAAGAATATTTAGCAGGGGCTAAACCATTGTGTTACTCCAGATTAGGGGCATAGATGATGCTCCCACGATTTAGAAAGGGGAGCTAGAAGACAGTGTCTATCTGCACTCGGTTTCTGAAGTTGCGAGGGGATGGCAGGGTCAGCAGGATGCCAATATTAAAATCTTTCCTTCCGCTAGGGAATGGGACCGAGGCCGGGAGCGCCGGAGCAGAGGGGAATACCGTGATTATGACCGGAGCAGACGGGAACGCTTCTCCCCCCCTCGTCACGAGCTGAGCCCGCCACAGAAACGCATGAGACGGGATTGGTGGGTTCTCTTGCTGCGTCTTCTATGGTGCAATATTGGACTGGCCACGGCAGAGGCGCAGGTGCCCTCAGCAAGTGGGCCCAAATACCTAATTGTGACGGGGGCCGAAAAATGAACTATCCAACATGCGACAGAGTGTTAAAACAGAGCCTATAATAGAGATTTCCCTGGTTCCCTGGCTTGCGACAAATGAAGTAAAAAATTATATTTACAACTTAGGTATATGTTGGTAATCTTCCTCTTAAGATTTCAGATTTTATACTTTTGTATTTTAGTATTTTATTCCTGTGTTCCTTTTTATTGAAATTCGATGTGGATGTGCCCTATGATAAAGAATAATTTGTGTCAGCTGGCTTTGGGTCTGCCTCCCCACAGGGAGCTGAGCCTCCTGCTCTGTGGCTTTAGTTGCAAGCCCTTCTCTCTCTCGGGAGAGGGAGGCCCTTTCTGAGCACGTGTGAAGCAGTTTCATTTCTCCTTCGGCAGGGATGAGCACACAGCAGATCCCTATCACTCTGGCTATGAGATGCCTTACAGCGGGGTCTCCACGGGCCCATCTTATGGGCCTCCCCAGCCTTGGGCACACCCTGAAATGCATGTGACGCAGCACCACATCCTCCCCATCCAAGCCAGGTAAGAGGGTTCTTGGGGCCATTCTCTGCTCGATCTCTGTCTGTCTGCCTGTCTGTATCCCATCTTTATTATTTTACAAATAACTCAAAGGTGACAAACATATCTAACAAGCTTGCCGCCTCCTGTTTTCCCCACAACAGCCTTGTGAGGTGGGTTGGGCTGAGAGAGAGGGATCAGCCCAGAGTCACCTGGCTGACTTTCATGCCTAAGGCAGGACTAGAACTCCCCATCTCCTGGTTTCTGGCCTGGTGCTTTAATCGCTGACCCAAACTGGGTCTTTGGTAGCTCTGAGATGCCAAAGGCAGGAGAGCTGTGCAATTCTTCTTATTCTGAGTCCATAAACTGTGACCATGGTTGATTGGAGGACTTTCTTGAGAAGGAAGCAAAGGAGCAAAGGTTTTGAGGAGGTGGCCGTGAAAAGGCTGTTCGGCAGAGGGGATTTTCAGAGAAGCCCCCGTCCCTTGGGGTATCCTGCAGCTTCTGAAACTTTTTCTTCTGCCCTTTCAGCTGCTAGCTTCAGTTTTCCTAATGAACAATTTAGAGCTACCCTCCTGAGTTTCTTTGCCCTTGTGGCAGTCGAGATGCCACTGGGAAGGTCATGGCGTGGCTGGCGAGGTTCTAGGCTCAAAAAACGATTCTTCTTGTTTTTACATGCTGTTTGCGCTTGCATTTTTACTCTTTATTTTGTGTGCTTTTTTTGTTTAATTCCATTCCAATTCTGAATATTCTATATTCTGTTCTGTTCTGTTGTGTTCTTTTTTCTATTCTCTTTTCTATTCTATTCCGTTCCTGTGCCTACTCCTCCTCTTATTCCATTCCGTTTGTATGCAGGAACACAGTGTTTTATAGTAGTGGTCTCCAAACCTACGGCTTTAAGACTTGTGGACTTCAACTCTTAGAATTCCGAATTCAGTTCAGTGAACTAGAACTCAGTGGTGAGTTCTAGTCCCTCCATAGGCGTGAAAGCTGACTGGGTGCCCTTGGACCAATCACCAGGAGACAATCCACAAGCCTTAAAGCTGATGATTTTGGAGAGCCCTGGCTCACAGGTACGGATTTAATTTTCTCAACCTTCCTCTTGCTTTGATGCTTGCGATCTTCACTCTGCCTGCTTTCAATGACCTGTGTATTCTTGAGGCGTAAAACAGCGGAAAGGAGGTGGTGGTTGAGAGCTAATCCCTGCTCTTCCTCCTCCGTCCAGATTGGGGAACATTGCAGAGGTGGATCTGGGCATCGCTCCGCCCGTCATGAAGAATTTTAAGGAGTTCCTCCTCTCCTTGGATGACTCCGTGGACGAGACGGAAGCCGTCAAGCGCTACAACGACTACAAGCTAGATTTCCGCCGCCAGCAGATGCAGAATTTCTTCCTGGCCCACAAGGATGAAGAGTGGTAGGTCTCTCGTGGGCTGGGCTGCCCACCTCGGAGGGCAGGGAGGAGGGAGTTTGATGCGGGCAACTATCCAAAATGTAAAGACCCCAGGAGAGAAACGGATTTCTCAGGCATGGGCTGTTTCTGGGTTGAGACACCAAGGAGGCCAGGTTAGGCCTTTCAGCCATGGGTGGTTTTTTTTTAATTTATTTCCTGGCCTTCAGTGCCACACACCAATCCTGGCTGGTCTGAACAATGCACAGGCAGTCCTCGACTTACGGCCGCATTTCTGTTGCTAAGTGAAACATTCCTTGAGTTTTGTCCCGTTTTACCACCTTCCTTGCCACAGTTGCTAAGCGAATGACCCGGTTGTTAAGCGAATCTGGCTCCCCCCATGGACTTTGCTTGTCAGAAGGTTGCAAAAGGGAATCACGTGGCTCCGGGACAGTGCGACCGTCATAAATACGAGCCAGTTGCCAAGGGTTCAACCTTCGATCAGGTGACCATGGGGGGGGAGGGGTTTGCTGTAACAGTTTTAAGTGTGAAAGCAATCACAGCTCGCAAAGCTGTGAGTTTGAATGGTCACTAAGTGAAGGGACGTAAGTCGAGGTCTACCTATGCATCCCCAGGTCCTTGGATTAAAAGCAGGATGGGTCAGGAATGTAGACGTGTCACCAGCAGCCAGGCCCACTCGGTGCTTCCCCTCCTGGCAGCCTCTCCTCCTCCAGAGGTTTGCCTGAAGGGGAGGGGGCTTTCCCACATCCTTGGGGTCCCGGGGTTTTGCATCTAAATAAACCAGCTGATGCGTGGTGATACCCCCTATTTACGGAAGAGCAACGTTTCCTCTGGTCTCTCGGGAGCTGTGACCCCAAATGTCCTTGTAAGCAGAAGGAAGGGGAAGCCCCCTCCCCAAGAGCACTCGTCCCTCCCTTGCCCGTCAACGCGGGGAAAGAGCGCCTGACCAGTTTCTAAATTGGGGGGCCAAAATCAAAGAATCTGTTAAAGCTGGGAACATTTAGGGGGAAGCGGTTGAAGGGGGGGGAGATCAGGGAGGGAGGGGCACAAGTCTTGAGAAGGAGCAGCAGCGCATCTGAAGGGGCCAGGTGGAAGGGCTCTGGGCCTCCTCCCCATGAGAGAACAGAGGGAGGTGGGCCAGCCGGTCTCTCTCCTTCCTGGTCTTGGGGAACTTTGAAAAGTTACGGGAGGTCACAGTTTACAAATCACCTTCAACAATCCCTTTTTCTTCTCCTTTGAGCTCCTTATTTACTGGAGAGAATTCAGGGCTGGGCAAGGAGGTTTGTTTATTTTCTTAAATTTATTTGCTGCCTGTCTCGCCAAAGGGGCCACTCCAGGCAGCTTAAAAGGAAGAAACTGAAAGCAGTATAAACGGAACAGAAATAAAACAATAGAGCCAGCCAAACAGAGAAGGAAATGGGAACAGAATGAGAAACGAAGGGGGGAGAGAGACCCTTCCTCTCCTCCCTTTCAGGCCTGGCTTGGAGAGAAGCCAACCGTTTGCCCACCAGAGGCTCCCAAGGCCTCTGGGCCTCTGCTTCCCAGCCCCTTGAAGCTGCCACAGTATCTAGATTTTAAACTTTTTTTTTCTTTTTTTTGGCAACCAGAAGAATCAGGCAGGAGTCGGTACTGACTCCCGGGTCCCTGTGCTTTCCTGGGGTGCCACTGCCTGCTCTTTCTCAGGGCTGAGAGGGAGTGGCCGGCCCGAGCTGGCTTTGTGGCTGAGGTGGCCCTTGAACTCACCGGATCCTGGTTTGCTTTCTTAACCACAATACCAAGCTGGCTTGATAGATGAGGCTGCCTGCCGTTATACAGGCAGTCCCTGACTTATGACCGCCCGATGTAGATGTAGCCAAGTGAGACATCGGTTACGTGAGTTTTGCTCCATTTTACGACCTTCCTTGCCACTGAGTAACACACTTGTTAGGTGACTCTGGCTTCCTCCATTGACTTTGCTTATTGGAAGGTTGCAAAACGTCTGGATTTTGAACACGTGGGGATGCGGCAATGGTCATAAGTGTGAAAAAATGCTCATGTCACTTTTTTCAGTGCCGTCATAACTTTGAACGGTCGCTAAATGAATGGTTGTAAGTCGAGGACTGCCTGTATCTTGTTTTGCCGTTGCTGTGTAATTTTCCTGGACATCCACAGAATATTTGGGGTCCCTCTGCAGGTGGGGATCCTGCCCAAAGGGCATATTCATAGCGGGGGGGGGAACAGGGAGAATTGCTAGCTAGGGTTGCCTTGTGTGTGGGGTGGGGGGAGAAGGGAGGTGCTAGAACTACAGGAACCCAGCTCAGGACTCCCCTCCCCACTGAGTGCCCCACGATTAAAATAGGATAGGCTGGTCCTGCCAACGTTCCACGGAAAAAATTAAAAAGAGGCCGCTTGTTTTCCAGCCCGAAGCATGGAAGAGGTTGACCTCGACTGCGGGGTTCTCCTCAGAAGCTGCTGGAGTCATTTGGGGAGGGGGAGTGGGGGGCAGCTGCAAAGGCTGGAACAGCCCAGAATCCCAGGTTTTTCCAGCCCTGGGAAAACCTCGCATGTTGGAAGGCATGGAAGCGAACCCCGCGGGCTGCGGCAGGAGGGAGCCAAGGGGTATTTGTGGAGATAAGGCACGAAGGCTCCCCCCTCCCCCAAAATCAGTGGGTCCTTTGCCCCGGCACTGGCACAAGAGAAGGCCCAAAGGATGGACGTGGGTTTTTCCCATATTCTGTGGGGGTGTCTGATGTACTTGTGTCTCTCTTCACTTTAACCACTTTTGATTTCCTTAATAGCTTTTTTTTTTAATTTCCTTTTGTTTTGGATGTTAACTGTAATAACACAGCCTTTTCTCCCCTCCTCCCACGAACCTCTCGCAGGAGACTCCAAAAATCAGCCGTCCTCAACCGGGAGAATCCATAAATAAATCAAAACACACCCAAGAGCCTTGAATCTGGTTTTCTTTTTCTTTTTTTTTTCCTTCCTCTCTCTGCTGGTAGTGGTGATTTTTTTTTCCTCCGTAGCTTAGCCAGTCAGGGCCTTCACTGTGCACAATGCAGTGAGTAGCTGAATGTGAATCTGTAGGAGGTAGACAGCTCAGGTTCGTGCAGGCTGGCTCCTCTTTTTCAAGTCCTGCACCCCAGCACGAGAGAGAGAGAGAGAGAGAGAGATTCCAATGTTCCTAAATCCGGGCGGTTTTTCTTAAAATCCGCCGAAGAAAACTCTCTTCGCTTGGAAGGCTCGCAGTGTGACTCCCTCAGTGTATGTATGACGTGTTCTGTCTTCTTAAATCAGAGCTGAGAGAAAGGAAACTAACATTTCTAAGGGCTCGTTTCCGGTTGGCAAGGTCAAATTATATACATAGAAGGCGTGCTTTGGCTTTGGTTGTGTCCACTCGGTCCCTCCCGTTCAATTCCTGTTCCCCCTTGCCTGCAGCTTTCACAGCCCTCCCACCGGTGCCTCTCCATCAGGTTTGGCGCCCGGGGCTAGCAGAGGGCCTATCCCCAGCCCAACCAGCAGAGGGTGCAAGCTCACCACGCAAGGCGACAGCTCTCTGACCAAGGCGCGCCAGCGAGGTTCTGCCGATCCTTCTGGGGAAGCCCAGAGAGGCAGGCTTCAGGAGGGTGGACCAGGGCTGGGTGGGGAGCGGCAGGGCCTCGCAAGCAAGCATTAGAACCTCTTGGCAACTTTAAGGCCTTTGGACCTCAACTCCCGGAATGGGGAATTCTGAGAGTTGAAGTCCAAAGGTCTTGATGTTGCGGAGGGGGAGACCCGTGCTCTAAGCGAATGCTATGAAGCAGCAGGCCCAGCTCCGTGGGGGTGTCAAGGGGGGGCTGAAATCCAGAGTGGGTCCGAGCGATGCTTTGTGGGGCCAGGGATGGGGTGCGATGCACTTCCTTGCCCCTCCCCTTTGCTCGGGGAGAGCAGCGCCTGGCCTTCCACCATATGATGGGAAACCACCACGCTCATCCTCTCACCCCAGATGCCAAGTATAGGGTGGGGACGATGGGCATTGGCATTCTCAAGCATCTGGTAGGAGAGGCAGCAAGGGAGCTGCATTGAAGGTTGAGGAGGAGGTGGCACCTCGGCTGCCCCCATTGGCAGGAGAGCCCCTGAGATCTGCACAAAACAGCCGGGCTGTTAACCAGGATTTTGGAGTGTCCAGTATACAGTAGCCCGCCTCTGGCTGGTTCTTTTAAGGTCTTCAGGTCCCTCCCGTCCATCCGTCCCCCCCGTCCGAGGCCCCCTTCTTCTCCCTGCCACTTCCTTCCCTAGCTTTGCATGTGTGGACGGTGCCCAAGGGGCAGCATGCTCTGTTCCTCTCCGGCTAAGGCGCGTCTCCCTCTGCCTTCCTCTCTGTCTGTTTCCACTCCCTTCCCTCCTCGCTTGGACCCCGTTCAGGTTCCGGTCCAAGTACCACCCGGAAGAAGCCGGACGGAGGAAGCAGGAGGCCCAGAACGCTCTCCAGAACCGGCTCAACGTCTTCCTCTACCTGATGGACAACAGCTGGTTTGAGGGCCTGCAGCTGGACATCGACAAGGCCAACGCCATCATCAAGGTCCTGGATGCCGGTAGGTGCCCAGAGGCAGTGGGCTGCGCCTGGCACTGGGGGCTTGTTTGTTTGTTTGTTTTATTATTAAATTTATATACCGCCCTACTCCCGAAGGACTCAGGGCCGTGAACAGGCACAGAATAAAATACATAAATACAAAAGTTAGAAACAATTTAAAACCAAATTAAATAATTTAGCCCAAGACAATTAAAATCCCAATAATTTAAAACAAATTAAAATTTCAGTTTAAAAATTAAAAAGAAAGGGGAGAATATTAGGCCAGGCCGGCTTGCTGGAATAGGAGGGTCTTAAGAGCACGGCGGAAAGTGCGCAGGTCTGGGATCCTCCGTATCTCCGGGGGGAGCTCATTCCAGATAGTGGGTGCCCCCACAGAGAAGGCCCTCCCCTTGGGGGCTGCCAGTCGACACTGCTTGGCTGACGGCACCCGGAGGAGCCCCTCTCTGTGAGAGCGTACGGGCCGGTGAGAGGCTGCTTGTGGTAGTAGGCGGTCCCGTAAATAACCAGGTCCTAAGCCATGGAGCGCTCTAAAGGTGGTAACCAAAACCTTGAAGCGCACCCGGAAGGTGTTAGCCGCAGCAGCAACAGCAGCCCTCGTTTGCGGTTCCCTCACCCTTGGTGGTGGAGGACCCTCCTCCATGTTGGGAAGATGCCTGGAGTCTTCCGTGGTGGGTAGGGACGGGGCTAGGGGTGGTATTCACTTACCTTCGCTACTTGCGAATTTGAGCGCCTGAGCCACCTCCACGCATGCGCAGAGTGTCAAAAACGGGACATGATGATGTACGGGCAGGTGGGCGGAGCCTCCCTCAGCCACCGCTACCAGTTTGCCCAAACCTTTTTTATTTTATTATTATTAATTTTATTAAATATACGATTTAAAAACATTAGACTTAGTGCGACTTGTCTGGTACATACTTTTCTAACACTTTTTCTTTCATGTAAATTACAATATAACTTCATGCATATTCCATATATACTTTTTGTACATTCAATCACACTTCAGTTACATACATATTCCCTTCGTACCTATTCAAATCCAATTTATTCCTATCTAATATTTCTTAATTTTTTAAAATTTATTTTTCTCCCCTTTCCTTCACTCTGTTCTAATTCTCTCTCCCTACATTCCTCTTTTTCTCTAGCCATTTATAAAATGTATTCCAGGTTACATAGAATTCCGATTCATCTTTATCTTTGAGCTCCTTTGTTAACCTGTCCATTTCTGCACAGGTCAATATTTTGTTGATTATTTCTACCTCCTGTGGGTTCTCTCTGCATTTCCAATTTTGTGCGAATATCAACCTCGCTGCCATTAATATGTGTACCATAAGATATATTTCTTCTTTTTTGTAATTATCCCTTATTATACCCAGAAGGAAGAGTTCTGGCGTCATATCTATCGTCTGGTTTAACATCTCTTCTAGCCACTGTTTTATTTGGCACCAAAAGTCCTTGGTTTTCGGACACCCCCACCACATATGATAATAAGTGCCTAGTGTTGCTTTACATTTCCAACATTTTGGTGAGCAATTTTTGCACGTCTTGGCTAGTCTTGTGGGTGGGTAGTGCCACCTTGTAAAACACCTTGTATTGATTTTCTTTATATGCAGTGGCTAGGGTAAGTTTTCTGTTCCTTTCCCATTGTTTTTGCCAGCTATCTAGATCTATGCCATACCCAAAATTCTTACTCCAGGTGAGCATGGTCTCTTTTCACTTGCTCTTCTATCATGTCATAATCCAGTAAATATTTATATAATTTCCTAATCATCTTTACACCTGCCGCTTGTAGGATTTCGTCCAATTCTATTGGTTCGGTCCTTATGCCCCATTCATTTTTATCTCTCACGTATCGGGATTGAATCTGAAGATATGCCCACCGTTCTAGTTCTCTCTCTTCTTCTTGCAAGTCCTGTCTAGACCTCCTTTTTCATTCAATATGTCTTTATACGTGATCACTCTTCCTAATTTCATGAAATTTGGATGTACAAACATCTCCAGAGTCGACAGCCAATTGGGAATTTCAATATAATTTTGTTTCTTAGTTTTAATCCAAACGTCCAATAGAGCTCTTCTGATGAGGTGTTTCTGGAAGTTCGCCCAAACCGGATAGAACCAGCTGGATCCCACCCCTGGACAGGGCAGAGCCAGGCTCCTTGCCTCCCTGGGGCTTTGAGGGAGAGTGGAGGGCCAGGTCTCCAGCTGCCATGGAGGACTCCATCCGATTCACGGCTTTTGCCTCCGCAGCTGTCATCAAGATGGAAGGCGGGACGGAGCACGATTTGAAGGTCTTGGACCAGGAGGAGGAAGAGGAGCGTCCGGAGAAGGCTGAGCCTGGGAAGAAGGAGGAGAACCGGCTGCCGGAGCAGGAGCGGAAAGTATCCGAGAAGGAGGAGAAGAAAGAGGAGGCCAAGAAGGCCAAGGTGGGGAGGGGAGGGGGGAGGAAATGCACTGGGGGGAGGGGCAAGGCCTCCTACCACCCCCACCCCGGCTGAGCACCAGGTTGGTCTCTGACTGACTGAACAGGCCTCTTTTGCAGACTGCCGAGGAGGAAGCTGCGGAGGAGAAAGGCAAAAAAGAGGAAGAGGAGAAAAGGGGGGAGAAGAAAGAGGAGCCTGAGAAGGAGGCAAAGAAGGTGGGTGAGTGGGGAGGGGTCCCTCCACCTCTACCAGATCGCCATCAGGTCAACTCTGTGTGTGTGTACAAGAAGAGGGAGGCCAACCACATGGGATGATGGAGGACATCTTTGGGGGCGGGGGAGAAATGACCTGATGTGTCCCAGGAGACCAGCCTCTGAAGGAGGGAATACCTGCAGGTCTCTTCATTTCCGGCTCTTTTGGGGCGGGGGCAGTAATAGGAATGCGGAGACACATACAGCCCTCTCCCTTCCTTCCCTCCCTCCCTCCCCAGGGTTCCAGGCCAAAGTGACTATGGGGGGGAGGGGGGAGAGAAGGTCTTTGGTCCCAAGGAAGCATGCCTTCTCCTTTCCAGACCACCCACAAGCACAAGCGGAAGCGCAGTGGGAACGACAGCTACGACGAGGGGAGCGTTTCAGAGTCCGACAGCGATTCCGAGAGCGGGCGCCCCCAAGGAGAAGACAAAGGTGAGGGGGGAGGCCCCAGGGTGAGGGTCTCGGGGGGCTCCCAGGCCCTGGAGGGAGAGGCCCGGCCTGATCTGCGTCCTTGCGGCCACAGACAAGAAGCCCAAGGAGGAGCCGGCCGGCCCAAAGGACGGGGAGGGGTCCCCCAAAGGCAAGGAGAAGGACGGGGAGCCCAAGCCTCGCGCTCTGCACAAGACCTGCTCCCTCTTCGTGCGCAACATCGCCCCCAATATCCCCCAGGCTGAGATCGTGGCGGTGAGTGGGGGGAAGCGAGTGGGGGGTGGGTGGGCGGGCAGGCAGGCGGATTGTGCATCCATCTCAACACACCTTTTCTGCTTCCTCAGTTCTGCAAAAGGTACCCCGGCTTCATGAGAGTGGCCCTTTCAGACCCTCAGCCGGAACGGAGGTAAGTCTCAGCGGTCCTTCCACCCCATCCCCAGCCTGATATTTTAAGTCCAGGGTGAGCTTTATTGAAGCAGTGACGCCCCCACCCCCACCCCATTCCCCCTTCTGCTATCTGTGCAGAAATAAATTCCCTCTCCAGCCTGCGGGGGGCGGGGGAGTGCTCAGTTGCAGCTCTTTCCCCTTGTTTTAGAAAAGCCCCCCCCCCCCGAGGTGAGGAAGGGATAAAATAAGGATTGTAAGCCACCCAGAGTTGCCCTGAGTGAAATGGGCAGCCAATTAACGTTATGGGTGGGAGGGAGGGAGGGAATGGAAGGAAAGAAGGAAGGAAAGAAAAAGAAAGGAGGGAGGGAGGGAGGGAGGAGGAAAACGAGGAAGGAAGAGGAAGGAAAGGAGGAAGAGAGAAAGAGGAAGGAAGAAATATTTTTTGTTCTTGGTCATTTCCTAAAATCCAGAAGAGCCGGGCGCATATGGCTCAGCTGCCTGGGTTTGCTGGGTTCCTGCCAGGGCCTGGGTCTGCAGCACCCCTTCCCTCACCAAACAGCCCCCCCAGAGGACCCCCCCCCCTTTCTGGACCTGCAGTGCTGTTCTGGCCAGGGAGGGGTGCTGCGGCCCATACCCTTTGCAAATAAGGGGCAAGGGGGGGGGGTTGCCTCTCTGCCTGCCGGACACCCAGCAGAGCCTCCGAACGGTCCTTCTCCCCTCCCCAGGTTTTTCCGGAGGGGCTGGTTGACCTTCGACCGCACCGTCAACATCAAGGAAATTTGTTGGAATCTCCAGAATATTCGGGTAAATTAGGAGGGGGGGGGGGGAGAGAGAAGGGGGGGGGGGGGGGGGGCTGGGGGCCCCCCCCCCGGGCCCTCCGGAACGCCCCCTTTCTCTGGGGGGGGGGGGCAGAGTGGGCGTGTGGGGAGGGTTCCTGCCCCTCACCTGCCTCCCCCCCTCCAGCTGCGAGACTGCGAGCTGAGCCCCGGCGTCAACCGGGACCTGACCCGCCGCGTGCGCAACATCAACGGTATCACGCAGCACAAGCAGATCCTGCGCAACGACATCAAGCTGGCGGCCAAGCTCATCCACGCCATGGACGACCGGACCCAGCTGTGGGGGGCCGGAGAGGCCCAGCTGCCCTCCGAAGTGTCGGTGAGTCTCGGGGAAGGCGCTGCTGGCACACACCTGCCCCGTTTTACGACCTTTCTTTGCCCCCGTTGATCGGTGGGCATCGCTGCCATTTTTAAGGGAGTCACACGGTTGTTAGGTGAATCCGACTCCCCCCTCGATTCTGCTTGTCAGAGGGTCACCAGATCACGTGACCCCGGGGACGCTGCAGCGGTCGTGCAAAGAAGCGGTCATCTGTCCCTTTTTCTAGCGCCTTTGTAGCTTGAAATAGTCACCGAACGGTCGGTTGTTAGCCAAGGACCCCCCGCGTGACTCTGGCCAGGGGAAGGGGCCGCGGTGGCAGCCGGGCAGAGGTGCGGGCGAGTGTGGGGCTGCCCCTCACCCCGCGTCCCCCCTCCCCAGAACCTGCCCTCCCAGAACCCTATCCTGAAGAACATCACCGACTACCTGATCGAGGAGGTCAGCGCGGAAGAGGAGGAGCTGCTGGGCCGAAGCGGGGAGCCATCGGAAGAGACCCCCAAAGAGGGGAACCCGGCCGAGATCACAGTGGAGAGGGACGAGAAGCTGGTGAAGGTGAGCCCTGCGTCCGGGGGGGGGGGGGCTGGAGGGGCCTCCCCCACATGTGGCACCAGGCGGCCTGAGCCTCTCCCCATTTGTGCCACGCAGGTCCTGGACAAGCTGCTGCTCTACCTGCGCATCGTCCACTCGGTGGACTACTACAACACCTCCGAGTACCTCAACGAGGACGAGATGCCCAACCGATGCGGGATCATCCATGTGCGGGGGCCCATCCCCCCCAACCGTGTCACCCCCCGCGAAGGTACGGGGCCTCTCTGCCACCCGCCACGCTCCCTGGGCGCCTCTTTCGCTGCGCCCGTAAAAAGAAACGGGGGGGGGGGGGGTGTCCTCACCTTACGACCAACGCTGAGGCCAGAGTCTCTGGGGCTAAGCAGGGGGGTTGTGAGCGGAGCCTTTTTTCCTTAACCCGGAAACCCAATGGTCCCGGAAATCACTTCAGTCAGTAACTGTATCGGGCGATGGTTAAGCAAACCCAGCTCCCCCCCCCAATGACAGCTAGTCGGGAATGGCGACCCCTTTGACCCCGCGGATACGGCCACAGAGGTCAAGGCCTGCCGGTTGGCCAGTGCCCGGGGTTCCCATCCTGTGCCTGGAGATGCCAGGGGAGTCGCAAGTGGGGTGAGGATGGCAGGAGGCCCCTTTTCTCAGTGCTGTTGCGACCGCAAATGGTCGCTGAACAGATGGTTGTAGGTCGAGGACTGCTTGCACAGGTGGTGCTCCACTTTATTTATTTATTTATTTATTAGTTTGATTTATATGCCGCCCTTCTCCGGAGACTCAGGGCGGCTTACAAGGCGTTAAGCAATAGCCTTCATCCTTTTGTATATTTATACAAAGTCAGCTTATTGCCCCCACAAACCGGGTCCTCATTTCACCTACCTCAAAAGGCTGGAAGGCTGAGTCAGCCTTGAGCCTGGGGAGATTTGAACTCGCAGTAATTGCAGGCAGCTGGCAGCTAAATACTACTTTAACAGTAGTTTAGTCCACTGCACCACCAGGCTACTTACGACCACAATGGAGCCCAAAATTTCCATCGCTCTGCGAGACAGTCGCTAAGTGAGTTTTGCCTTGTTTGATGACCTTTCTTGCCACAGTTGTTAAGTGAATCACGCCCGTTCTTAAATTAGTCACGTGGTTGTTAAGTGAGTCTGGCTTCCCCGTTGACTTTGCTTGGCGTCAAAGGAGATCACGTGACCCCGGGACACTGCGACCGTCGTAAAAATGAACCGGTTGCCAAGTGTCCCAATTTTGGTCAGGGGATGTTGCGGTGGTCGTAACTGTGAAAAATGGTTGTAAGTCACTTTTTTCAGTGCCCTTGTAGGAACCATCACTAAATGAATGGTTGTAAGCCGAGGACTGCCCCAAGGTGGGGCTGGGGAGTGGAACACAGAAGCCGCCTCTTGGCTTTCCATCCGGAAGACCCTCCGCCCTGCCAGCCCAAGCAGGGTCCGCGGTCAAGAGTGGGCCGGGGTCTGCCTCTGGATGAGCCCCTCTGCCCCGGGGGTTGTGCCGGGAGGGGTCTTTGGGGGTGGAGGGGCAGAGCTCCCCCCTCCGAGGAAGGTGGGGCCCTCTGGGACGGACTCCTTGCCCTTCCAGTGGCCGAGTGGCAGAAGGCCTTCGAGGATAAGCTGCTGCCCCTCTTCAGCATCCGGGAGTCCCTGTCGGAAGAAGAAGCCCTCAAGATGGGCAAGAAGGACCCCGAGCAGGAAGTGGAGAACTTCGTCACCTCCAACACCCTGGAGCTGGGCAAGGACAAGTGGCAGTGCCCGCTCAGCGGGAAGAAGTTCAAGGTGCGCCTTCCTTCCCCGGGAGACCGGCACCTCGTTTGGCAGGCAAGGCCAGGCTGCCCCGAGCACCAGCCCCAGCTCTCCTGACACCCTCCTCCCCTCCCCGCCAGGGCCCCGAGTTTGTGCGCAAGCACATCTTCAACAAGCACGCCGAGAAGATTGAGGAGGTGAAGAAGGAAGTGGCCTTCTTCAACAACTTCCTGATGGACGCCAAGCGGCCGGCCCTGCCCGAGTTCAAGCTGAACCAGCCGCCCGTCCCCGGACAGGGTGAGTCGGGGGGAGGGAGACCCTCGGGGCCCTGCCGGAGTTCCGGGAGCGGGAGAGACCCCTCCCCAGCAAGCCCCAGAGCCCCTCTCGCCACATGTGGCAGACGAGAACGGTGGCAAGGAGGCGGCCAAGGAAAGCCCCCCCTCCTGCCCAGCTGGTTCCTCCATCCCTTCCTGGTCCCAAGCATGCTGGTGCTCCCCTGACAGGGGCCAAACTTTGCCTTCCTTTGCCCTCCTCAGGCCTGGCACCAGGGTTGCCCTACCCACCGCAGGCCCCCCAGGGACTGATGCCCTATGGACAGCCACGCCCGCCCATCCTGGGATACGGAGGTACGTGAGATAGTTCCACTCCTGGGCAGCCAGTGGGAGGCAGGGACGGAGGTGCTGCGGTCTGCAGGCTCCTCACGTAGTGGGCAGGTGAGGGGCTGGGCTTCCCCTCCAGGGCCCCTTCAATAGGGGGAGGGGGAGAGGACCTTAAAATGGGCAGGGCTGCCAGGTCTGATGTACGCCTTAAACAGAGAGTTTCCCTCTCTGTTTTGTCCAGAATGGGATATAATCTCCCGATCGAGCAGGGGTTGAACTTGATGATCTCCAAGGTCCCTTCCAACTCTGTAGTAAGTTCAAATGAGGTCACCGTTTCTCTTCTCTCTTCCCAGGCGGTCCTCCGTACCCCCCGGCTCCCTATGCCGCCGGGCGGGGCAACTACGACACCTTCCGAGGGCAGGCTGGATACCTGAATAAGCCACGGAACAGGTAGCTAGGAGGGAAGCCTCCCCGTCACCTGTGCGAGAGGCAGGGCTGGGCCCCAAACCTCCCTGGTCACCACAATATAAAAAAGATGCTGAGAGTCTGGAAAGAGTGCAGAGAAGAGCAGCTAAGAGGATTGAAGGCCTGGAGACTAAATGGTCTAAAAGGATGTGGGTCTGGCCAGTCTAGGCAATCGAAGGACTTGGGGGGACCTGATAAGCATCTTCCAATATTTGAGGGGCTGCCACAAAGAAGAGGGGGGGTCAACTTATTCTCCAAAGCACCTGAAGGTGGCACCAGGACGCAACGGATGGAAACTAATCAGGGAGAGAAGCCACCTAGGAGGGATTTCCTGACAGTGAGGACAATTAACCAGTGGAACAACTTGCCACCAGAAGTGGTGGATGCTCCAACACTGGAGGTTCTTAAGAAGAGACTGGACTGCCACTTGTCTGGAATGGTATAGGGCAGTGAGGGCTAACCTTTTTGCCATCTTGTGCCAAAAGCGGGGTGTGTGTGTGGGGGGGAGATCGCGCACACCCATAATTCTATGCGCCATGCGCGTGCAACCCCCCCACACTCCCCTGTTTTTGGCACGTGATGGCACGATGCCCCCGGTCCCACTGGAACTTGGCAAACAAGCCATTTCCAGCCTCTGGAGGACCTCCAGGACGGTGGGGAAGGCTGTTTTTCCCCCTCCCCAGGCTCCTAGAAAGGCTCTGGAGCCTGGGGAGAGTGAAAAAACGGGCCTTTCCCCCTGGAGGCCAGAAACAGCCTGTTTCCTGACTTCCGGTGTGCCCAGAAGGCCCGAAAATCAGTGGCTGGCGTGCACATGGACTCCAGAGCTGAGCTCGCATGCCCACCAATATGGCTCCAGATGCCACAGATTCGCCATCACGGGTATAGGGTTTCCTGTTTTAGCAGGGGGTTGGACTAGAAGACCTCCAAGGTCCCTTCCAACCCTGTTATTCTCTTACTCTCTTCAGGATGGTCCGAGGAGACCCCCGCGCCATCGTAGAGTACCGGGACTTGGACGCACCTGAGGACGTCGACTTCTTCTGAGCCCCACCGCCTTGGCTTCACATCCCCCCACCCCTCCTCCCTCGCTTTTTTTTTAAAACAACGCCGTCATCCCGCTCGCCCCTCCCTGTGTGCGTGTGTGTGTGTGTGAAGCCAGGTCCGGATCCGTGTCTTTGAGATCCGTCCGCCAGTTTTACATGTTTAGCTGTATTTGGATTTCAATAAAAGCCTCTCCGTTTCCAGGCCTCCGCTGTCTTTGCTCACCGTTATCTTACGGGGTATCTGTGCCAACGAAGGCCTCCCTGGCCAAGCAACCTGCTCTCCCTCCCCCCACCTCCACTGAAGGTGTTTGGGAATGGGGGCTGCTGACCAGGGACCCCTTTGGCCCTTGAGAAGTTGGACTCTGGGGGAGGGGGGTTGTGGGCCTCACTTTGGGGGTTTAGATAGGAATTGCATGTTTTCCCTCCCTTTCCTGGTCCACATTGGAGCATTTGAACACTGGCTTGCAATGTTGAACATGGCCCAGAGCAGGGGTGTGGAACGATGGCCCCTTGATGACTGGTGGACTTCAAATCCCAGAATTCCCGAGCCAGCCAAAATCTGGGATTTGAAGTCCACCAGTCATCAAGGGGTCATCGTTCCCTGCCTCTGGTCTAGAGTATGCCAGCTGGAGAATTCTAGGAATTGAAGTCTGCAGGTCTTAAATGTTGGCGAGGTTGGAGAGTCCCGTTTTAAACGAATAAATAAAATCTGGAAAGGCATCAAAAGTTGCTTTTCCTGCACTGACTGACCTCTGTATGAGCTCAGAACACTCATTTCTCCCTACAGCTGTTTTGTTTTTTCCCCCTTTATCGATTTATTGATGGTTATGACACCACGGGCATCTTGGCCTCCCCTCTGGCATGGCTGGCTGGGGAATTCTGGGAGTTGAAGTCCACAAGTCTTAAAAGTTGCCAAGGGTGGATGCCCCTGCTCTAGAGACTGCACTTACTTGCAAACATTCACACAGGCCCACCTGCTTGGGAGACTTTTTAATAACAGAATATGGACAACCAGCTTTGGGAAATGCGAGCCTTGGCAACTGCTCACCATCTGGCGAGAGGTTGTAGGAAGCCAGTGCCAATGGGTGGCATCACCTTTCCCGGATCCAATGACCAACTCCGTCCTGGGCGAAGGACAGCGTGTGTGGGTACAGCTGCTCCTGCGTTCACTTGGGCCATCCCCGCGTGGAGCCCCTGAGCTCCCGCCACACTTTCTCCATCCTCTCCATAGAGACCCCATGGACCATCAGGGATTTCTGGTATAAGGTGAGGTGGTCTTCCATCTTCTCCCAGGCCCGGAAGTCTCCGCTGTGCTTATGGGGCAACCGGACGGCCAAGGCTAGGAAGCCCCAGTAGGCACCACTGAGAGGGAAGGTGGGCAACCAAAGGGAGGCCTGATAGAGGGCAGGCAGGGCAGCACCGGGCACCAGGAAGCCCTTTTCCAAGGCAAAGTGGGGGAAGTGGCCCAGTGGGAAGAGTGGGAGGGGGATGGCGTCCCGCCCAATCCTCTTCACGGCAGGGTGGTAGTGGATGTGACCGTGGATGAAGTGGGAGACGTTGGGCGTCAGCCGGAGGAATTTCGTCAGGGCCACAGGATTCACGAAAACATCGTCCTCTCCTGCAAGACAAGACCACTCCGGTTGGCTGCCGTGTCTCGGGCTGTTCTGGTTACAAAGCTGGCACTGAGGCACTCCCTGCTGAATCAAATCAGAATCAAACCAGAAAGCATGTTCAGAGGGCCCTGGGGTCTGTCCATTTGGGGGCAAGGAGGGGATGTTCTGTGCCCTCTGGGGGCTGCAAAGACGATGGCAGGAGTGTCCAGCGTTGGCAACTTTAAGAGCTGTGGATTTGGACTCCCAAAATTCTGCAGCCAGCTTTTTTTCCCCCCACTTTACTGAAGACAAGATATATTACGTCTACTGCATTCCCACTATCTATTAAGAAAGTGAATCTATCAAAAAAATACAACAATGTCGTTTAGCCACATTTGTTCTTGTCCTACCCATATTGTTCTGGGAAACCCTTGCTGGCTGGGGAATTCTGGGAGTTGAAGTCCACAAAGCTGGCAAGATTGGACACCCCTGGACTATGGGGAAATGCCTGAAAGATCGACCTTCAATGGCTGCTTTTTCTCAACCTCGGTGGACACGCCTTGCTGAGCAGCACTAAACTGGGGCTACCTCCGAAAGGTGTTAAGGAGCCATTCACCCTCCCTGCAGGGTCTCCTGGAGGGCAAGCACAGAAACCCACTCTGCCCTGCTTCCCTGGGCAGCTCACCTTTGAAGACGAAGGCTGCCCGCTGGCAGTGCCCGTGCACCCACTGGAGGAAGCAGCGCTCCTTGAGGGAAAGGTGTGATGGGACTCCACGAAATCCCACATCAGGATGTCGCCAAACACGCGGCTCTCCTGCGCCACCAGCTCCAGCTGCTTCTGGTTGGACGTGGCCCCCAGGAGGAAAAGGGGCTGCAGCCAAAAGCCCCCCACCTCTGCTGTCTGAGCCCAGGTGCGTCGCAGGGTGGCCCTCCTGCTCCCAGAAGCCAGGTGGGATTTGATGGCCAGGAGCAGCAGGGGCACCCGGGAGGGTCCCTGGCACAAGTTGTCCCGGGCAAATCACCTCCTGGCACCGGTAGAGCTGCAGGTGAGGGAAGAGGGCTTCGTAGACGCTCCAGTTGAAGTAGAAGGTGAAGGTGCCGTCGGTCAGGACTGAGATGGGCTCAGGCATTGCTTGGAGAAGAAGCTTCTTCCTCAGGGCGTACGTGATCAAGAGGACGGCTGCCAGCCCCAAGATCAACTTCCAGAGGGAAACATGGCTGAGCCTAGGAAACAAGGCAGGATTAAGCCAAGTCAATTAACCTAAATGGGTTGAACTCCGTCCTGACAGGCCTGGCCAAAGAAGCCAGAAATTGCTCTGCCACCTGCACCCAGAGCCCAGGGGGGCACTTTGGGCACCCAGGAAACGGTGGGCGCCACAGTGCCCATCAGAGGCAGCTATGGCAGCTGGGAAGGCCAAGCCACACACACACACACACACACACACACACACAAACACACCAGGCCTGCCGAATCCCTCAACACCCTCCAAATGCAATAAGGAAGCTCAAATCATAAAACCACATTTGCACATTAGGCTGTTTAAATAGAGACGGGTTTGAACTGGTTCCCTTTTGAAAACGATAAATGATAAACGTTCATAATGATTCATGACTTTGACGCATGGCGGCGCCTGTACAAACTAGGATCAAGCTGACATTTCCAATTATATGCCGAGCAATGGTTTAAAATGTGAGCCTCTCTTATTTTTTCTCATTTCACAGGGTTCGTAGCCTGCCCCCCACTCCCTCCCCAGCCAAGAAAACCTGGGGGGTGGGCTACAGCCATGTCTACAGAGGGGTGATAAAAACAGAGACGGACAATAACACTCAAAAATTTAAAAAAAAACGGAAAGGCTACACCCAGGTGCAAGTCCATCGTGCAAACGTCACCCTCCATTGCCAAATTTAATCAAGGGCCGTTGCAAAACCCAAAGCTGGAGGAATTTTTTACTTTAGGTGTCAGTGGGACAATTGTACCAGACAACTGAGAGAACAAGAACACAAACAATCGTGTCTTTTGTCAGCAGAATCACTGATCGATGGCTGGGCTGAAAGGAAGAGTCACCCCCTGCGAGCACCAGAGGCCCCGATCCAGCCCCAGATATTTCTCTAAAAGAGATTTTTTCCCCCCAGGCCTTTCTGAATAGAGACAAGAAGCCTTTATAGAGGCAGATTTGTTTTTCCCTGGATGGGCAAAGAAAATTATTTTTCCCTAAAAAGGGAGCCAGCCTCCTCCCTGCTGGAGTCCTCCAACCCTCCCCACCTCCCCCCCCCCGCATTGCATCAGGCTGGGTTGGGGGGCTGAGAGTGGGGCCCTTTGCAAGCGTACAATTGGAGCTGCCCCCCCCCCGGCTTGGGTTGGGGGGCGAAGAGGCTTTGCAAGGGAGGCAGGCGGCTTGCAGGCCTCGGGCCCCATAGCTGGCCAGCCCTTCTTCACCCCGGGGAAGCCAGCCCGACCCAAAAGTGCACCCACTTCCTGGGCAGCAGCCTCCTGAAGCACCTCCGGGGAGCCATCTTGGGGGAGGGTTTCCCCAGAGAGCCCTCGCCCCCCCAACCAAGATGGCCGCAGGCAGGCGCTGGCTTGGCAACCCGGCCTCACCAAGCAGGGGACTCCGCTGCCCATCATCCAGCACCAGGGTGGGCTGCAAGATGAAAAGCCAAGGCCGCCCCCCAACCAAATATGGCTTCAGGAAGCACCAGCCCCCCCCCACCCCCGGCTCTGCCTAGCTCATTTTTTTTTATATATATATATAAAAGTTTTTTTTATTTTTTAGCCAAAGAAACATTTAATACATCAGTTTTCTCTTCCCTCTGACATCTCAGTGTTATCTTCCAAAATTCTTTCTTCTTTCTGTATAGTTGTCATTACTTCTATCTTGATCCTTTTCCAATCCACAATATCAATTAATCACTAACATAATATTCTACTCATCACGTATTTTTACATACTTATATAATTAATCATTTATATCTCTTCTCCAACCAATAATAAATATCATTACATATTTTAAAATATTCTGAGTCTTCTCTATCTTTAATCTTCAGAGTTAATCTATTCATTTCTGCACAATCTAAGATTTTTTTTTTATTACTTCTTCTTCCAAAGGTAGCCAGACCATGCCCCCCCCCCCCCCCCCGGGCGAGATCCCTGATTGAAAAGTTGCCAAGATCTTGGCAGTTTCCACCATGTGGGCTGCATTCCTATGGGGCTGCTCTAGAAAAGGGGGCTAGGTGTGGGGGGGGGGGAACAGCTCTGGAGCTGGGGGGACGGAAAGACACAGGACTGGCTCATTCTCATCGGACTAGCCGGAAGTAGGTGGGAAAACCTGTGGGTGGAGGTGAGAGGCTCTGTCCAGACCCAGCCTGAGATAGTGATTGGCTCCTGATGGTGGGACCGGGGGAGGGGGGGCTGGGGGTGAAGAGGAAAGACCCCCAGAGGAGGCAGACCAGGCTGCCTCAACCTTCCAGGGCTGGGAAGGGTCCAACTCCAGGAACCTGGAATGACCCCTCAGAGGGCACCAGCAATTTGGAGGGGAGGGGGCTGCTGTAAACACAGCTGTAGGATTGGGAGCTGCCACACCTCCCCTCTGCAAGAGGGTCCCTCTGGAGTGGGTCAGCCCCCATCCACTCACCCACACTCAATGAACAGAAGCTGCTTCCAGCCTACCCACCCAGCCACCCACCCCCACCCCACTCCACCAGGATTCCTGCCTGCTCAGGACCAAGCATCCCAGAGGCTCTCTTAGCTGTGGGAGGTGAGCCGAGGAAGGTGGGTCTGCCCCACTCCACCCACCCCCACCAGACCCCTTCCCCTCCCTCCCAAATGCCCCCATGGCATCTCCTGAGGATGGGGGCGCTTTCCCGCCTCCCCCTCCCAAAGCTCTCACAGGAAGGAGGGTGCAAAGCAGAGGCTCTGGAAGTCCAGATGTGCCCATGGCAGCCAGGGTAGGGGCCACAGAGGTTGGCCAGGGGTCAACCTCCCAAAATACCCCCCACTCCATTGCAGAGAGCTGAGCTGCCTTATCCACCTTCCTCCTCGCCAAGAAGGGCACCTCCGTCACCCGGAGCCGAGGGAGTTCCCAGTTCTAAAAATTGCAGCCGGACAGGCTGATCCACTTCGGGGTCCCTTCCCAAAGCAGAAACCCAGATTGGAAGGTCAGAGAAAGGAAGAAAGTGGGGAGTGTCCAGCACAGCCCCCAAATGTATTTGTCAGGCAGGTCTAGCTTCTTCGCTTCGCTGGCATCCTGCCATAAAACCAGCCATAAAACTCAGGGGAAGGGGGGAGGAATTAGGGAAGGAAAAATTTGAGCATGGAAGTGAGGAGACAAATGGGGGGGGGAGGGGGGGAGACAGTTGACAAAAACCAGAGGTGTCCAACCGGAATAAACCAACCGCCAAGGACACCTGGCCTGGAAACAGAATGCAAAACTATGCAAAATGCAGAATGCAAAAATTGAAGGTGCCAAACATCCAAGCAGTTCCCAAAACATCAAAAAAGCATCCTATTAGACACCGATGAACAGATTGGGAGGAGGGGGGAGGGAAAGTTGAAAAAGTGTAACCTTTGCACGGGAATACTCAGATCTAGCTTTACTTTTGCTGCAACCACTTAACTTTAGTAAAAAAAACCTCTAACACATCAATCAAATGGAGTCGAGGGTCTTTCTTTCCTAAAAGTCTAAGTTGGGGCAAGTCTGACAGTATTGCTAATTTTTATGTCCGCTTCGTCACAGTGACGTGTTTTCTAATTCCTGGGGGCTAGGAGGAGACAGTCTTGTGGCCACTCCTGTCCTGTCCATGTGGAAGTGACCCAGAGCCACGCCGGAAGTGGACTGGCCTTCTGGTCAAGGTGCTTCTCAGGCCCAGAGGCTACCGAGAACCTGTTCCATCCCCCAGTCGGGTGGGAGGCCTGGTCCGTCTGCAGGCATTAAGACGAGGTTCGGAAGTCCTTTGGGGGGCTCTCCAGCTGCTTCCAGACTTCCTCGATCCTCTCCATGCTGACCCCGTGGATGGAAATGGAGTCCTGGTAGGCCGAGAGCTCATCCTTGGGGATTCCCCAGACGCGGAAGACCTTGTCATGCCGGTGGGGGATCTTGGCCGCCAGCGCCAGGAAGGCCAAGTAGACATCATCCAAGGGGAAGACGGGCAGCTCCAGCGAGGCTCGGTAGAGGGCAGCCAGCCCCAGTTGCGACATGATGAACCCCCCTCCGGAGGCAAAGTTAGGGTAGTGGTCCAGGGGGTAGAGGTCCCGCGAGACGGCATACTTGCCCCACCTCATGACCACCGAGTGGAACTGGATGTTGCCATGGATGAAGTGGGAGGCATTGGGCGTCCGGTGGAGGTAATCGGTCAGCACCTTGGGGTTCACAAAAAGGTCATCGTCCCCTGAAAAGGAACGTGGCATTTACTTCCGTGGAGCGTGGCAGACGGCCCCTGCATTGGTCCTCACGCTTCAGCTCAACCATTAGTGGTCCCCCTCCCCCCCTTCCCAAAGGAATGGCATCAAGATGGAGCTTTCGGACTCTGGAACCGAAACCAGCCAGGTGGGAGGGTCAGAAGGTCAAGATGGGAGCCTATTCCCCCTCCTCATGAAAGCTCTTGCAGATTAAAAGGGGCGGGGCTTAATCCACCAGGTGCATCTGCCACCTTGACTTTCTTGCCACCCCCTCCCAGCAGGTAACTCTTCCCCCTTCTTGTGCCAGTGCCAGACGGGGGAAAGGTCAGTGCAAGGAATGTATGGATGAAGAAATGAGCCCGGCCAGCCAGGCAGCATTTCAAAATTTATGTCAAATAATAGTTCTAGTTCTACATTGATCGCAGGATTGGGGTCTGGCTTCAGCTGCCAATCAGCCTTGGCATTCGCCATGCGGATGAAGCGTCTCTCGGGCAGCAAATGGGGCCCAGGGGCTTCAAGAAGGGCGTGTCTGGGCAGGCAGGGTGAAAACAAAGCACCCAGAGAGAGCGTGGGAGCCCAAAGTGTGACGGAGACCTTAAGGCTTAGATTGCAGAGGGAACAGAGGAGATTAGGAAAGCGTTAGAAGACTCTGGCAGGTGTGCAAACAAAAGCAACACAAATGATTTAGGGGCCTGGAGGCTAAAACATGCAAGGAATGGTTGCAGGAAATGGGTGTGTCTAGTTGAATGAAAAAAAGGGCCGGGGTGACATGATAGCAGTCCGAATAACAGAGTTGGAAGGGACTTGGTAGGTCATCTAGTCCAACCCCCCCCCACTCCATTTCTGACAGGTAGCAGTCCAGTCTCTTCTCGAGAGCCTCCAGTGATGAAGCTCCCAGAACTTCTGAATAACAGAATAATAATAGAATAACAGAGTTGGAAGGGACCTTGGAGGTAATCTAGTCCAGCCCCCTCCCCCACCCAAGCAGGAGACCCTACACCATTTCTGACAGGTGGCAGTCCAGACTTCTTGAAAGCTCTTTGTGAAAGCCTCCAGGGATGAAGCTCCCACAACTTCCGAAGGCAACTTCTGTTCCATGGGCTGATTTTATTTATTTTTATTTATTATCAAATTTATATACTGCCCTTCTCCCGAAGGACTCAGGGCGGTGCACAGCCAAAGTAAAAAACATAGATACAAACATTAAAATACAGTTAAAAAAATATATTTGTGTTTGGCCCCAGAATTAAGAGAACAATAACAAACCTATTAAAAACATTTAAAAATTTGTTAAGCCAGCCCGGCTTGCTGAAAAAGAAAGGTCTTAAGGGCACGGCGGAAGGCACCGAGGTCTTGGATTCTTCGTATCTCTGGGGGCAGCTGATTCCAGAGGGTGGGAGCCCCACAGAAAAGGCCCTCCCCCTGGGGGCCACCAGTCTACACTGCTTGGCTGATGGCACCCCGAGGAGGCCCTCTCTGTGGGAGCGCACCGGTCGATGGGAGGCCGATGGTAGCAGCAGGCGGTCTCGAAGATAACTAGGTCCTATGCCACGGAGCGCTTTAAAGGTGATAACCAACACCTTGAAGCGCACCCGGAAGACCACTGGGAGCCAGTGCAGCTCACGCAGGAGCGGTGTTACATGGGAGCGCCATGTCGCTCCCGTAATCACCCACGCGGCCGCATTCTGGACCAGTTGGAGCCTCCGGGTGCTCTTCAAGGGGAGCCCCATGTAGAGAGCATTACCATAGTCCAGGCGAGAGGTGACGAGGGCATGAGTGACTGTGCCCAAGGAATCCCGATCTAGGAAGGGCCGCAACTGGCGGATCAGGCGAACCTGATAAAAAGTCCCCCTGGCTACAGCCGTCAGATGTTCCTCCAAGGACAGCTGCCTATCCAGGAGGACGCCCAAATTGTGAGCCCTCTCCATGGGGGCCAAAGACTCGCCCCCAATAGTCAGTGATGGTGTCAACTGACTATATCGGGATGCCGGGAGCCACAGCCACTCAGTCTTGGATGGTTTGAGCCTGAGCCTGTTCCTCCCTATCCAGATCCGCACAGCCTCCAGGCACCGGGACATCACTTCAAGGGCATCATTGGGGTGGCCCAGGGTGGAGAGGTACAGCTGGGTGTCATCAGCGTACTGGTGGTACTTCACCCTGAAGCCACGGATGATCTCACCCAGTGGCTTGACATAGATGTTGAACAAAAGGGGCGAGAGGACCGACCCCTGAGGCACCCCGCATATGAGGGGCCTTGGGGTCGACCTCTGCCCCCCTGCCAACACAAACTGCGACCGGTCCGATCTGTCTGGGCCAAATTATTTAATTCGATTTTATTTCTGTTTTTTAAATTTTGTATGTATGTATTTTATTGTTGGCTGTTCACCGCCCTGAGTCCTTCGGGAGAGGGGGCGGTATACAAATCAAATAAAAGTAAAAGTAAAAAGTAAAAGAAAGGAGGAGCTTGATCTCACTGTCGGAAAATTCCTCCTTATTTCCAGGTTGAATCTCTCCTGGATCAGTTTCCAACCATTATTCCTTATCTGGCCTTCGGCTGCCTTGGAAAATAGCTTGACCCCCTCCTCTCCTCTCTGTGGCAGCCCCTCAAATGCTGGAGCACTGCTATCCGTGTCTCCCCTGGTCATGAGAGCAGTCTTCCAGTATTCGAGGGGCTGCCCCAAAGAAGAGGAGGGGGTCAACCTATTCTCCAAAGCACCTGAAGGCAGGACAAGAAGCAACGGATTTGGTGATTCCAGGTGTGGCCTTACTAAGCCTTTATAAAGCGGTACTGATCACTTCACGTGATTTTGATCCTATGCCTCTGTTGATGCAACCAAGGATTGCATTGGCTTTTTTGGGCAGCTGCCACAAACGGCTAGCCCACGTTTAAGTGATTGTCCACCAGGAGCCCAAGGTCCCTCTCACAGGGACTGTTTCCAAGTCAGGTTTCACCCAACCTTTCCTTGTACTTTTTTTTTTTTTTTTTTCTCCCCAGGTGTAAAGCTTTGCTTTTATAAAAAGACTGGGAGAAACGTTACCTCTATAAGGGATCATAAATGTCACACTTTCTGTTCCTGCCACAGAACATTTTTATCTTCTAACGTCACAACTTCGTTCATTATTCGGTCTTATCTTAGTTTCTGCTCTCTTTTAATCCAAATCATTTCAAACGTAAATACTGAAAAGATAAGAAGCAGAGCAGCCCCGGATAAGAAAGAACAAAGCTCAAACCTCTCAGAGCAGAGGTTTCGGACCCTTCAGTCACCTGGCTGCCCCCTTCCTTGGCTACGGGGCCATTTTCCCTTTCCCTCTTAAGCGTCCCCCTTCTCTTGGTTTTGGGGGAGCCCCATTCGTCTCTCCTGGGTCCCGACGGTTTTTTTCCTCATGGCAACTGATTGCAAGCGTTGGGAAGTCCCACCTTGGGCAGGGGGTTGGAATAGAATAATGGAGCAGAATAACAGAGTTGGAAGGGACCTTGGAGGTCATCTAGCCTAACCCCCTGCTCAGGCAAGAGACCTTAAACCTGTCCAATAGCTATCCAATCTCGTCTTGAAAATCTCCAACGTTGGCGCACCCACAACTTCTGGTGGCAAGTGGTTCCACTGGTTAATTGTTTTTTTAACTTATCAGGAAACTTCTCCTTTGTTCTAGCTTGGATTCTTGCCCTGCCTTCAGGTGAAGGCAGAAGACCTCCAAGGTCCCTTCCAGCCATAGGATTCTGACTTCTTAGCACTGCTCGGGGCTGAGAACTCCCCCTTCCTGATGGGGTTCCACATGTGGCATCTCCTGGTCCACCATTTCTGCCCACGGCTCTGCCTTCGCTCCAAGGTCCACACCTAAGATGGCCGGCTAGTCGTATTACAGGTAGTCCTCAACTTATGGCCACAATTGAACCCAACATTTTTGTTGCTAAGCAGGACAGTTGAGTTTTGCCCTATTTATGAGTTTTCTTGACATAGATGTTAAGTGAATCACCACATTTGTTAAGTGAATCTGGCTTCCCCATTGACTTTGCTCATCAGAAGGACGCAAAAAAGGGGGGGGGGTGTCACGTGACCCCAGGTACACTGCAGCCGTCACGAGCACAAAGCAGGTGCCCAGTGTCCCAATTCTGATCAGGTCATAAGTCCTGTTTTCAGTGATGTTGTAAGTTTGAAGGGCTCCTAAATGAAAACTTGTAACTCAAGGACTCTCGGTATTTGTGGGAAGGGAACCGCACCCCCACAAAGGATCCCTCTGAGAGAAGGGGGGAGAGGCACGGAGCCCCCTTTTCCCTTAAGGCTTTTGAGGGGGAAGCTTCCTGAGCAGGGGGGAGGGGGTGCACGGAGGGGCTGGGCTGCTGGGGGAAGGCAGAGGAAATGAGGGGCAAAGAGAGCTTAGTCACACTGGGGCAGCTCCATGCAAGATGCTTGCAAGCACCAGTTAACCACGGTGGCATCACTGCGTGTGCCTGCGAAGGGAGCTGCCATCAGTCAGAAATGATATAGGACAGCAATGGCGAACCTTTTACGCACAGAGTGCCCAAGCTGGAAGGCGCACATGCGCACCAGAGCACCGGAAACTAGCTGGCTGGCTCGCATGCGCGTATCAGAAACCTGACAACCAGCTGGCTGAGCTGGAGCGATGGCGTAGGTGCCCACAGAGAGGGCTCTGCCTGCCACCTCTGGCACATGTGCCATAGGTTCTCCATCATGGATATAGGGTCTCCTGCTTGGACAGGGGGTTGGACTAGATGACCTACAAGGTCCCTTCCAACTCTGTTAAAATAATATTCTCCAAAGCACCAGAGGACAGGACAAGAAGCAACAGATGGAAACTAATCAAGGAGAGAAGCAACCTGGAATTAAGGAGAAACTTCCTAACAGTGAAGACAATTAACCAGTCAGTGGAACTGCTTGCCACTAGAAGCTTTGGGTGCTCCATCCCTGGAGGTTTTTAAGAAGAGACCGGACAGCCACCTGTCTGAAATGGTGTAGGGTCTCCTGCTTGGGTAGGGGGCTGGGCTAGTCCTCCAAGGTTGGTGTAGGCGCTTAGCAAGCCCATAAACCTACCTTCTCTATCGCCATCTGTCCCTACGTAGATGTTCTTCATAATGAACTCTCCTGGAATAGGGTCTCCTGCTCAAACAGGTGGCTGGACCAGAAGACCTCTGAGGTCCCAACTCTATTTGTTTATGTTCTATGAGCTCTGCAGCTGGCAAGCCTGTTTTTCGTCAGATTTCTCTCTCAGAAAAGCGGCTGCCCCCTTTTGTGTTGGATCTTGGGCTGTCCAAGACTAACCTGGCTCCCCCCCCACCTCAAAGACCCCCAGCTGAGCGAGGGAAGGTCTTTCCCAAAGAGGAGATGACAAAATGCTGAAGGGGAATCTCCCTTCCGAAGGGCAGCCTTAGTAAACTCTCCCTTACCTTCAGATTTGCTCCTTAGCACTGGGTGGGTGGGGTGGGGGCTGCATCCCCTCCTTCACCTGCATTCCATTAGAACTAAATTCACCTCCAACCCCTTTGCTCACCAGACATGAATTGTCTTCCAAGGAAAACAGATCCAGGTCAACCCTTGCTGGGCTCGGACGACCAATTAGCCTCTAGGATGAACGCGGCTCAGCTTAGCAGGTGTTTGGAATCAGCTTCCAGATGACCAGAGCCCCACTTGGGTGGCACCTTGTCCACCTACCTTTGAAGACGAAGGCTGCCCGCTGGCAGTGCCCGTGCACCCACTGGAGGAAGCAGCGCTCCTTGAGGGAAAGGTGGTGATGGGACTCCACGAAATCCCACATCAGGATGTCGCCAAACACGCGGCTCTCCTGCGCCACCAGCTCCAGCTGCTTCTGGTTGGACGTGGCCCCCAGGAGGAAAAGGGGCTGCAGCCAAAAGCCCCCCACCTCTGCTGTCTGAGCCCAGGTGCGTCGCAGGGTGGCCCTCCTGCTCCCAGAAGCCGGGTGGGATTTGATGGCCAGGAGCAGCAGGGGCGCCCGGGAGGGTCCCTGGCACAAGTCGTCCCGGGCGATCACCTCCTGGCACCGGTAGAGCTGCAGGTGAGGGAAGAGGGCTTCGTAGACGCTCCGGTTGAAGTAGAAGGTGAAGGTGCCGTCGGTCAGGGCTGGGATGGAGGGTCTGGCGGGGGCAGTGGTGGGGGCCAGTTGCTCCCTGTGCCAGCTCAGGAACAGGATGACGGAGACCAGGGCCCCCACGGTCAGCCTCCAAAGCTGGCAGGCTCTGTGCCTGGTGAGCTGGGGGAGGGTGGGGGGAGCCATGGGCAACGAGGAACCTGTGCAAAGCGAAGGGAGAAGCCCCCTTTGAGGAAAGACCCAGAGCCCCCCCACCCCGGGCTCTGCCCTCCCTCCCAAGTCCGTCTTCTGTTCCCCTCCCTCCGAAGCCCCCGCGCCTCACCTGGCTGGGACCTCCGCTTCCTCCCGGCTTCCTCGCGGCTTCTGTGCCCGGCTGCCAAGCGAGTCCGCCGTGGGGGGGGGGGGCTGAGCCCCTCCTTCCCTCCCCGACCCTTCCCGAGGAGGAAGCTGGGAGCTGCTCCGCTTTCCCTCCCTTCCCAGCACCTGCCTGCCTGCCTGTCCTCGGCTGGACTCTGGACTCCCAGATAAGCCGCCCACTGCCCCAGGCGGAGGCGGAGGCGGAGGTCAGGCGCTCCTCGGGAAGTTCGACGGCGCCTTTCTCCGACCGAGCGACTCCCGCAGAAGGGCGGCTGCAAAGCTCAGGCGCGCTGGGGAGCCCGAGCCCCTGGTCCCAGCCCAGCCAGCCCTGCCGGCGGCTCCCTCGGGGAAGAGCTGGCCGTTTGGGGACACTGCCTGCCCTCCGCGGTGAGGGTCGGAGGAGGAGGAGGAGAAAGGAAGATGGAGAGGAGGAGGAGGAGAAAGAGGAAGAAGAGGAGGTGAAGAAGGAAGATGGAGAGAAGGAGGAGGTAAAGGAAGGAAGATAGAAAGGAGGAGGAGGAGAAAGAGGAAGGTGAAGAAGGAAGATAGAAAGGAGGAGGAGAAAGAGGAAGAAGAGGTGAAGAAGGAAGATGGAGAGAAGGAGGAGGTAAAGGAAGGAAGATAGAGAGGAGGAGGAGGAGAAAGAGAAAGAAGAAGAGGTGAAGAAGGGAGATGAAGAGAAGGAGGAGGTAAAGGAAGGAAGATAAAAAGGAGGGGGAGGAGAAAGAGGAAGGTGAAGAAGGAAGATAGAAAGGAGGAGGAGGAGAAAGGAAGAAGAGGTGAAGAAGGAAGATGGAGAGAAAGAGGAAGGTAAAGAAGGAAGATAAAAAGGAGGAGGAGGAGAAAGAGGAAGGTGAAGAAGGAAGATAGAAAGGAGGAGGAGGAGAAAGAGGAAGAAGAGGTGAAGAAGGAAGATGGAGAGAAAGAGGAGGTAAAGAAGGAAGATAGAAAGGAGGAGGAGGAGAAAGAGGAAGGTAAAGAAAGGAAGATGGAGAGGAGGAGAATCTGGGCACCGCGGAGCCCCGAGGGGCGCCGCCAGCAACGGGGCAGCCGCGGGCGCAGTCAGGGGCCGGTCCTCTGCCCTTGGGGCTCGCTCTCCCTCCCGCCCGCAGTCCCAAGCGGAGGGAAGGGGGGTCCCGAGGTCCAAGCGGGCCAGCGGAGGGGGAGCCTCTCCTGCGGAAGCCGCGTCTTGGCGTGGAGGCTGAGCTCGGCGGAGACCAACCGCTGCCCTCCGGCGCCCCCCTCTCCTGCCCGGGACTGGTGGCTTGTGGACGGGATGCCCGGGCAACGCTGGTGGCGTGAGCGGCTCTTTGCTTCTCAAGGCTGGCCCGGGGTTCAAGGGAGAGGGAGGGGCGGGCGCTCAACCTCCCAGAATCGCCAGCCAGCCAGGCCTGGAGTCCACCCACCTTCAAGTGCCCAGCCTGTCGCCTGCCCGCCCGCCCTCCAGGCTCGTCCCCAGCAGGGCTCCAGTCTTCCAACGTCGCCAGCGTCTTCCAGGTCACCCCAGAGAAGCAGCCCCCTGCGTGTAAACTAGGGAGCCTTGTGGATGGCAGCCAACCGCCTCTACTTCGGGGAAGAGCTGCAGAGCCCCCATCCGACAGCGCTGGAAAACCTTAATGCTAGCACTGATGATGTTCCCTAGATGGGTCCTGAGACGTCTGCAAGAAAATCACCCAGTTTAGAGACCACCAGGGACCCACCAGCCCTTTTCTTCCTCTCCCCAAGCCCCACTCCCTCCTAGAACTGAAGAAGTTACATAGTTGGGTTATGAAATGTTTCCAAGAAAACCAACCAAGCTCAGAGAGCACTGAGGACCTCCAGTCTTTCTCCTCCTCCTCCTCCCTTCTAGCACTGATGATGTTGCCTAGTTGGGTCATGAGACATCTGCAAGGAAACCCTACCCGCTCCTTCCAGCTGAGACGTCGGGTTCAAAGGGGGCAGCTTTTGTGAGCTGCTGCAGCGGCCTTGTCAGCCGCAGGGGGCTGAGGTGGGACTTAAATGGGGAGAGGAAGAAGAAGAGAGGCCACTGTGCAGATGCAGGTTACACGGTGAGTCAGCTTATGGGTAACAGGCCAATTAGCTGCGCTTAAGAAAGAAAACCTCTGCTTGTTTGCTCAGAACTTCTGAGCCCTTTTTATTGGAGATTTAATAGCGTGGATGCAGAGTCTTTTTCCTCCTTCTCTGACGTCTTGAGCTGAGCATCCTGGAAGGTTTAAGCACCCACATTGTCCGGCTGGGTGTTGAGTCCGGGTGTGGGAATTGCATTGCGCAAACTATTATGCCACTTACGAATTTGAGATTGCTGGACGGAGGCTGGAGAGTTTTACCTGAGGAGCACCTGACCTGGGAGGCCCTTTTGAAATCCCCAGGAGGGCAGCCTGGTCTGCAGAGCCCCCGAGAGGAACCCCCCCCCCCCCCCAGATCCTTCCTCACTGCAGAGCCTCAAGGTTGACTGGCACCCCGAGGGCCTTAAGGGCTCCTCTAAAGTTGAAACTGCCGCTGCTGGGGGTTGCCATGCAGACCCCCTGCAAAACCTTACTTTAGAAAGCAGAATAGGGCTGGAAGGGAGACTGGAGGTCCTCTAGTCCAACCTGCTAGCTCAAGCAAGAGATCCTAGACCATTCTGGCAACTTCCTTCCTTCCTCTTTCTTTCTTCCTTTTTACCCTTTTTCTTAAGCCCACCAGACTTTCGACAGAGATGAAACTTTTGCTAACCTTGCAATTCCCCAGGCTTCAACCTTCCTAGACAAGTGTTTCTCAACCTTGGAAGCTTGAAGATGGGTGGACTTCAACTCCCAGAATTGAAGGGGGATTCTGGGAGTTGAAGTCCACGCTTCCAAGGTTGAGAAACACTGTCCTAGACTACCTTCTAGAACCACAACATCTGGGAGTGATCACCTATTTATATTTAAAATCTAATTTGATCTCCCATTAGCTTCCTGGGCTTCATCAGCCTACCTGACTCTCAGATGAGCCAATGGTTTAATCTTCCGTTAATGATGGCCTCCCTAAATTCACAAGTGGGCATCCACCAGCACACAACCACCCGGAGCTCTGGAGATGCATGTGGCTCTTTGGGCCCTCTGCTGTGGCTCCCTGTGCCATCACTGGCTGGCCTTGCCCTCCCCGCCCAGACACTCCTTGCCAGGCCTTGGAAATCCGAGAGATAGAGAGAGGGGGAGACAGAGAGGAAGAGGGGGAGAGAGAGAGACAAGAGAGAGATACAGAAAGAGAGGAGGGAGAGGAGGAGAGAGACAGAAAAGGGTTTTGTGGTTCCTGGTGTTTTTTAACAACCGATTCTCTGCCCTAATGACTGCCTGGGTAGGAAGGAAGGCAAATAAAGGTTTGGTTTGAATTGAATTGAATTGGTGAAATAAATCTTCCTGATCAGAAGGTCACAAAAGGTGATCAAACATCCGGGACATCACAACCGTCACAAAGACGCCTCCGTTGCCCAGCCTCTGAGCATTGATCGTGTGGCCTTGGAGATGCCACGGTGGGTCTTGCTGGCCACGGAGGGAGGAACATGGACCCCAGTTCTTGTTACCTTCTTCAAATTTATCCCTCACCTGTCCCCCCCCCCCCCCCCCCCAAGCATCCCTTCCCTGCCCCGTGGAATGCTGGAAATCTCCTCTCCTCAAACGCCGCCTCCTGGCCAGACGATATTTTCTTATCTTCACAGAAAATAATTCATCAATTGTACAAGTCACACAAATGGCATTCCTCCAACTTCCACCTCAGGTTGAATTATGATGACATTTGTGTCCCAACCGGTCACACAATTACATCGCCAGTCCAAGAATAACATATTATTTTTCAGTTGTTAGTAACAGTAAAAGGAGTTTGTCTTTGTTTTCTTAACTTGGGCGTCCTCCTGGACTCACGGCTGTCTTTAGAAGAGCACTTGACGGCCGTGACCGGGAGGATCTTTCATCAGGTTCGCCTGATCCGCCAGTTGCGTCCCTTTCTAGATCAGGACTCCTTACGCACGGTCACTCATGCCCTCATCACCTCTAGTCTGGACTATTGTTAACGCTCTCTACATGGGGCTCCCCTTGAGGTGCACTGGAGGCTCCAACTGGCGCAGAGTGCGGCCGCGCGGGGGATTATGGGAGCGACGTGGTGTTCCCATGTAACACCTCTCCTGCGCGAGCTGCACTGGCTCCCGGTGGTCTTCCGGGTGCGCTTCAAGGTTTTGGTTATCACCTTTAGAGCGCTCCATGGCTTAGGACCTGGTTATTTACGGGACCGCCTGCTACCACCAACAGCCTCCCACCGGCCGGTACGCTCCCATAGAGAGGGGCTCCTCCGGGTGCCGTCGGCCAAACAATGCCGACTGGCGGCCCCCAGGGGGAGAGCCTTCTCTGTGGGGGCACCTACGATCTGGAATGAGCTCCCCCCGGAGATACGGAGGATCCCAGATCTGCACACCTTCCGTCGCGTGCTTAAGACTTTTTTATTTCATCAAGCTGGCCTGGCCTAAATCTTCTCCCCTTTTAAATGTAAATTTTAATTTGTTTTTAAATTATTGGATATTTTAAATTTGTCTCAGCCAAATTATTTAATTTGTTTTTATTCTATTTTAAATTTTTGTATTTATGTGTTTTATTCTGTGGCTGTTCACCGCCCTGAGTCCTTTGGGAGTAGGGCGGTATAGAAATCCAATAAAATAAAATAAATAAATAAATAATGTAACAAAATTTTTCATCATTAGAGCAACCTCGGCTGCCGTTTCCTGCAGACCTGGCCCTCCCCCTTTTCTCCCCCTCCCAAGCCACAGGCCTTTCTCTGGTGCAGGGGTCTCCAAATTTTGGCAACTTTAAAGACTTTTGGACTTCAACTCCCAGAATTCCCCAGCCAGCTCTTTTTTTCTCCACTTTGCTGAAGTTATATTATATTTGCCGCATTCCCACCATCTATTAAGAAAGTTATCCTATCAAAAAGTGTGCTAATGGTAGCGTAGCCCCATTTTTTCTTGTCTTATCCACGCTGGATTCTGGCAAACCTTTGTGGGCTGGGGAATTCTGGGAGTTGAAGCCCACAAGTCTTAAAGTTGCCCCTGCTGCCCTCGCAAAAAGGAGAGGCCAGCTGGGAGAACAGCTTCTGCACTTAAAAGCGATTAAACCACCCAGTTCCATGCAGCACTGACTCTCCTCAAATCCCAGCCAGATTAAAATAAACCCATTTTAGTCCTCTGGCATTTAACGGAGCCGGTTTGGTGTCCTGGCCAGGGAGGGAGGGCCGGGTTCAACCCAGTCCCAGCAACGATCTGCCAATCTAGCAACCGGAAGCCAACCAGGCTTGACTGACTTTATCTGTTTTGAAGCTGCAGGGAGTAGGCAGGGAAGCAACCCTGAAGGGCTCCCCAGGGCAGGACCCCATGCTGGTTGGTGCAGGAGCTGCCGCCCAGGCTTCTCCTTCCGTGTTGAGGCCCCCAGCACGTGCCAAGGGTGTGATGCCCATCCACAGCCAGTCCCTTGGAACTGCTGGGCTGAAACTGCTGGGAACGAACGGCTCCTACGTGTTCCATGCCTCTTCTCACGAAAGCCTCTTCTGCACGGGGGGCCCTTTGGCCCTGAACTGGGGCAAACACAGGTTGTAGAAGGAGGTCTCCTCAAAGGAGCCGAGCGCCCGCCAGGAAACCCACCTCTTCGCCTGGGCTTCCTGCCGGCTGAGCGAGCCTGCCGTGCCGTAGAAGTGCGGATCCAGAACGAGCAGGTGGTGTCCCTCGGAGCCAGAGCAGACCCCCAGCAACCCCTTGGAGGCATGGTCCCGGCCTCCCCCCATCATGACAGGCCCTCCGCCTCCCTGGAAGTGGGCATACAACGTCTCTAGTTCCCCTTCCAGATCTCGGCCAAGGCGGACGTGGAGCAGTTTGCCCGGCACGTCGTAAAAACAATCCATACAGAGAGCGGCTTCCACAGTGCCGATCCAGTCCCGCGAGCCTGAGAACGAGGGGGGCTTGTCACCCATCTTCACCAGGGAATCCTGGATCTCCTTCAGGGACGGAACCGGGCAGTGGGTGGCGTCTTCTCCCCCGGCTGCCACCAGCCAGGAGCAGATCATCTGGAGGGTACGGTAGCCGCAGCCCCACCCTCGGTCGTCCACCCCGTCGCAGCCGTAGTGGTAGTAGTGGTAGGGCCCGGAGACGAGGGCCAGGCGATGCGGGCACCCGGGAGGGGGAAGGCCCAGGTGAACGGTGGACAGCAATGCCATGCCTGAAGCTGGACGGCCTGAAAGAGGACAAGAACAGACGTGTGGGAAGGAGAGCGGGCGCAGGTTGGTGGCGGCTTCCAGTGCAGGGAATTCTTGACTTACAACCACAATTGTGCCCAAAATTTCTACTGCTAAGCGAGACAGCTGTCAAGTGAATTTTGCCCCATTTTACGACCTGTCTTGCCACGGTTTTTAAGTGAACCACTGGGGTTGTTAAGTCAGTCACAGGGCTGACAGGTGAATCTGGCTTCCCCAGTGACTTTGCTTGTCAGAAGGCTGCAAAAGGGGACCGTGGGACCCAACACCTAAGCCAACATCTCCCACTTGCTTGCAACACCCAGCTGGGGGGGCCAATCTTGACTCCAGGAACAAAACCGGAAACTTCCCTGCATCTTTTCAGCTACCTGAAGACCCCTGAAGTTCTGGCTGCCCCAGTTTTTCCTTTAGCTCAGAATGACGGAGTGGCATCATACAAACGATGGTTTGAAAGTCAAGTGTCTGAGAAGGGAAGGGTGATATCAGGGCAAGACTGAGTCCCCAGACGAGGGGAAAGAATGAGCTGCATCTCCGGAGACTCTCAGCCATCCAGGACACGGTTGTCCCAAAGGTGCTTTTTCAAGAGGCAACTGGACTTTCTGGGTTTTTCTTTGAAGACGTTTCACTTCTCATCCAAGAAGCTTTTTCAGCTCTGACTTTCCCCACCATCCAGTCAGAGCTGAAGAAGCTTCTTGGATGAGAATCAAAAACGTCCTCAAAGGAAAAACCAGAAAGTCCAGTTGCCTCTTGAAAAAGCACCTTTGGGATAGTTATCTTTGCATTGGGTGGAGGGGGGGAAACTTGGATTCTCTCCCAAGCATGTCATACCCAAAATAGGCGTTCAGTGAGTAGGTGAGAGGTCCAGCTGACCAAAGATGACAGCTGGTTCTGAGCTCCCTTTAGTGCCATCAGGTGCTCATCCGAAGGGCTGCAGCCCATCAAGTGTGGACAAGCAGACCTGGCTCTTCAGGCCGGCAGCTGAGTCAAGGAACCTGGCTGAGGCCCCTCTGTCCAACTGTGGCCCAACGTTACACCCCCAAGACAAATGCAGAAAAAACTAACCCAAACCCCACCAAAGTCGTCTCGGACAGGGAGACGATATGGTGCATAAATTCCATAAATAAAAACCAAGGAGGATCAGGCTGCTGGCATCTAAATCTACTAAGATGTCTCTTTGGAACATCTTTTCCCCCCAGAGGGAGGTCGGTGCTGACCCTCCTTACCTTCCTGAAAGATTCTAACTCTGGTGGCTGGATTGGGGCTGTAAGGGTGGGTGGGTGGGGAAAGCAGTGGTGAAATCTAAACCAGTTTGCTACCAGTTTGCAGGCCGCACCCACGGGCCAAAAGGAGGCTTTGCAAGGTAAGTAGAACAGGAAGGGGAGGGAATCAGATGTGCTGCACGATTTAGCTTGACTAGAAAGCAGGATTTTCTGCTTTCTAGCAAAGCTAGATCGTCGGAAATATCGGTTCAAGTGAACTGGTAGCTTTCTTTTAACTACCGGGTTGACCGAACCGGTAGATTTTATCACTACCAGCTCACCTGGAATGAACCGGTAGCATTTCACTCCTGGGGGGGAGGGGAGGTTTCGCATTGGGGGTGGCTGATAGATTAATACCAGATCCTCCCTCTCCCCCTCTGCTCATCCTATTCCCTCCCTTCCCGTCTTTTCCTTAGCCTTGAGTACAAGCAGTTCTCGACTTACGACAATTGAGCCCCAAAATTTCGTTGTTAAGCGAGACAGTCAAGTGAGTTTTGCCCCGTTTTATGACTTTTCTTGCCATAGTTGTAAAGCAAATCACTTCAGTTGTTAAGTGAGTCACACAGTTGTTAAGGGAACCCGGCTTCCACATTGATTTTGCCCGTCAGAAGGTCGAAAAGGGGATCACATGACCCATGCAACCATCATAAATATGAGTCACTTGTTAAGCGCCCGAATTTAGATCATGTGCCCATGGGGGAGGCTGCAAAGGTCTCTTTTTCAGTGCCATTGTAATTGAACGGTTACTAAATGAACTGTTCTAAGTCAAGGGCCACCTGTATTTGCATTTCTCCTGTACTTTATATGAATTTTTGTATAGATTTATATTATTAGAAAGACAAAACTATGCAACCCTACAAATGTACTGTAAGCTACTCAAGAGTCACTCTGGGGGTAAGATGGGAGGCCAATATATTTAATAAATACATACATACATACCAGGATCAGGATTGGGAGGGGGCTGGGACGGGCTCTTGGGGGGAGGGGTGCAGGGGGCTTTTCCTGCTTCGGGGGGGGGGAGAACCCCTTTATGCACCCCAAAAGTGGGCGGGGGGGTGCTCTGAGCTATTTCACCCTCCTGGCAGGTGCTCGATTAGACTAGAACAGAGCTGGAAGGGACCCTGGAGGTCATCTAGTCCAGCCCTCTGCTCAAGCAGGAGTGAAAGTCAGATTTTGGGGGAGGGGGGGCTCTTCTCCATCCAGACAGCTGGACTACAACTCCCATCACTCTCGGTGGTCCGGGATGATGGGAGGGGGAGTCAGGGCTTGGGGCTCTCCCGCATCCGAAGAGGCGGCTCCTTCCTGCGGGTTGCCCAACGCCGCCTGGACTCACCTGGCGAGGCACACCTGCAGGCCGGAAGTGACAGCCGGAGAGCTTCCGCCTGGTTATGGAGATCGGACCGCGTTCCTAGAGCGTCCAGCTTGTCGGGCTCTCACTGGCAGAGGGAGGAAATCGGCCTCAAGTCCTTCCGTCCGCCACCGGAAGTGGGAGCCGGCCATCTTGGGAGGGGCCCAGCCCAAAAGGACCCGTGTTTCTCTCCCGCCCCGGGCCCGCTCTTTGCCCCCATTCAGGCGCGGCGCCGTTGCGTGAATTAATGCCTGCGAGTCGGATGCCGGAGAATCGCACCTGCATTCGGACCCGGCGCCGTGTCAGACGGCCACCCCTCCGCCCCGTCAGGGAGCGCCGCTCTACACATTGCGCCTCCATGGCAAAAGCGACATGGCGGAGGTCCTAGAGTTACGAAAGTGAAGAGTGACGCTCTAGCCCTCGCTACTGTGCAACTTCTGGGCTCCTTCCTGGCTGCCGCCCTGGTCCCTCCCCAACCATTTAGGACTCCAGGTCCCATAATTCCCTGACAGCGAATTATGAGATTCCCTGATCTCAAACCCGGCGCCTGATGTACGCAGGATCCTAAGGCGGCGTTTTTTTTAAAAAAACCATGGCAACTTGTAAGAAAGGATAAATTAAAGTGGACTTCCCTGAATTCCCCAGGCAGAAAGGATTCTGGGAGTTGAAGTCCGCCCGCTTGGAAAGTTGCCAAACTCGAGCAGGTGCCGTGAAAACCAGCCTCTTCAGCGAGTCCCGCCCGCTTTCCGACCGTCCCGGCCGCTGATGCGAGGCGCCCCCTCCCCCCTCCCTCCCTCCGGGGGCTGCATCATCGCGGGGACCGGGCAGCCCAAGGCGGGCTCCTCCTGCAGCTCCGCGGCTGCCCGGGGGAAGGGAGCGCCGTGCCGGTTGCGGGGCCAGCGCGCCCACCTTCCCGGCTCCTTGCAGCGGCGCCGACCCCAGCAGGGACCGCGGGGCTGGCGGGCAACCGGGGCGGCCGCTCCCGCCTCCAGCCCCACCGCTTTCTCCGGCCCCCCTTCCTGGATGCTGCCGGGGAGCCCCCGACCCGCTTCTGGCCGAGATCGCCCGGCTGATCCCACCTCCGGGGCAGGCGGGGAGACCTATAAACACGCGGGATCCAGGCGATCCTAAATCTCCATGCAGGGTCTTCCCCGAGACCCGCGGACCCCGACACCCCCGCAGGCTCAGCCCAGGGAGGGAGAGCCTAAATCGGGGCTTTCCTCCCGAGCAGCCGCGCCCAACCCCGCTGATCCTCCGCTGCGGACGGAGCCCCGGGGGAAGCCAGCAAACGCCGCAGCTGAAAGGCAGAGACGGTCCGCTCCTCGAGTTTCGCTTTTATTGCCCGGGTTGATTCCGCAGGAGCAGCTGCCCTCCCCTCCTTCTGTTGGTGCTGGGGCTCCCTTGCCGACCCCCCTCCCTCTTTCCAACCCCGCACCCGGTTTTCCCAGGCGCCCCCTCCCCTCCCCTCCCCCGCAGCCCTGGCTGGGGCGGCAGCTGAACCCGGGGCCAGTTAGAGGTTAGTAGAAGCAGGAGAGAAGGCAACTCTCTTTTGGTTAAGTGCTTGGCTGTCATTTCTAATCCGCTAGGCTAATGGCCTGGGTGGAAGCCCCCGCCAGGGCTGGGGAGGGGGCGAAGGAGCTCCAGTCCTGACTTTACCATGGGGGAGGGGGAGAACTGGGGTGCAAAGAGGGCCCCTCCTCCCGAACCGCCTGGTCTCCTCCAGGTGAAGGAGGAGTGGCTGCTGGAAAGGAGGAAGCCCCCCACGGAAGGCCACGCTTGCTCACTCTGGATCGCTTTCGATAAAGGCCTCTGAAAGGGGTTGTTTCCAACCATTTGGAACACAAAAATGTGCAAGCCAAACAGAACTGTCCTGGGTTCGAAACACCCCCAGAAACGACCCAGTTCAAACTCAAATCGGAAGCTTCACACGACGTTCCCGGTCCAAATGGTCCCCAATGACGCCGAATGCACTTCTTGGTACGCGGCACTGCAAATCCCATCATTCCTGCCAACACAGCCGCCCTCGAGTGGCCCACCGTGATGGATGGGAGTTGTATTTCCCCACATGGGGAGGCGGGCAGTCTTGGTCAAGCCAGCAGAGAGAGCCTGGGGTGAGGAGGAATCGCCTTGAAGTCCAAAGAGGCCCAGATGTTTCCTTTGCCCAAATATCGGTGCCCGCTTGTCCTCTCGGCCTTCTTGCACAAGGAAATGGATGAGGAAATTATTTCCGGCTCTGGAAATCTGGGGGAGAGCTCAGAAGAAGCCCTCATGCCTCCAGGGGTACAGGAAGATCTCCCGGCTGGGACCCTCAGATGGTCCCACGAAAATTGTCCCGAAATAGTGGAAGACATTTGTGTCCCGCAAAACAGTCCTTGTTCCTCCTCTCCTGGTTCAGCAAGCCGCCTCAGCTGCCCCGAATGTCTCCTTCTCCCCCCACATCTTCAGCCAAGCCGCGCTCGGCCCGGCCTCCTCGTTTCTCCCCCATCCCCTCCAGAGACAAAGGCACATTTTGTTCATGGGTGACAAGGCGAATGCAGGGCCTGCTGCCGGCCACTTACAGTTCAGTGCAGGTGACGGGGGTCAGCCCGTGGATCAGTAGGGTGGGCCCCAGGTCGGTGGTGAGAATCTCCAGCTGCTCCAGGTAGCGCTCGTACTGAGAGGTGTCCGCGGGAGGCCGCGGCAGGTAGAGGAACCGCACGGCCGTCTGACCGCCTTGCTTCTGCAGAAGCTCGTTGACGGAAGTCAAGTACTCGTCCGTCACACGGAAAGTGGCCGCGTTCAGGAACGTTTCCCCCACGCGCTTCTCTTTGGGGGGAGGATCCGGGGGGCCCTGAACCTCAGCAGGGCTTGGCTCCCCAGGGCCCGCAGGCTGGGCGTGGCTCTGGAAGGTGGCCACCTGGTCCCAGGTCACGATCTTGATGGTGGCCTTAATCCTCAACTTGGTCAGTAGCTCCCGCAGTTTCTCCTCCTTGCTCACCCAGCCCACGTCCCCCGACTCCACGCAGATGAAGAGGCGCAGCCGGGCGCCTTTCCAGGAGCTGACCATGGTGAGGATGCAGGCCATCTGGAGGAGGAAGAGGCTGCAGATGTCCACGTAGGTGGGCGTGTTGGGGCGCAGGAGGTTGAGGGGCCAGACGTCGATGTAGCGGCCTTCCAGGCGCTTCTTGGAAGCCGAGGACGAGAGCAGATCCATGTCCAGCAGGTGGAAGTAGCGGGCCAGGCACACGTTCTTGTGCATCTTCACCGCATCCGAGATGATGGCCACGTACTCGGAGGGCTTCAGAGCCCGCTGGTTCGCCGTCACCCGCACGGGGGGGAAGTGGGCTTGCAGGGCCGTCAGGTCCACCCCAAACTCGTCGTTCTCCCGGGCTTGGCTGAAGGCCGGGTCCTGCAGGAAGTAATCCTCAGGCACGCAGTCGTCGTAGAAACCCAGGACCAGCGTATTCGGCTTCATCCCGCCTGCAGACAAGGAAGCGCACAAACCACCTTGACTCAGGCAGCCCGAGTGGGTCCCAAAAGGGAGAACCAGCCGGGTCCCCCAGGTGGATCAAGACGCAGCCAACCAGGGTTTATAATCCAGGGTCCCTCTGGGGACCCCACCAATATTTTGGTCTATGGAATGAGGGCAGCCTGGCTTAGTGTGACAGGAAGCTCCAGAGAGCAGCCTTCTCACCACGTCAACTGAGGAGTCCCCCCTCCCTCCTTAGTGCTGAGCAAGCATTGGGTTTTCCTCTTCTCCTTCTGGGGGTGGTGAGAGTGGCTACCAATGGGGGTGGGGGGGGGGGTGTCAAGGAAGCCATCCTGTGGCAGAGTTTGGCCCAGTGCTGAAGGTGCTGGCTTAAAAACGAGGAGCTGGTGAGTTCTAGTCCCACTTTAGGCACAAAAGCTGGCTGGGTGATCAGGCAAATCACCAGGAGAGTGGGAATTCTAGTGCCGCCTTAAGCATGAAAGCCAGCTGGATGACTTTGGGCCAATCAGGAGACTGGGAGTTCTAGCCCAGGCTCAGGAGGAAAGGTGGCTGGGTGACTTTGGGCCAATCAGGAGACTGGGAGTTCTAAGCCCAGGCTCAGGCAGGAAAGGTGGCTGGGTGACTTTGGGCCAATCCCTCTCTCTCAGCCCAACCCGCCTCGCAGGGTGGTTGTTGTGGGGAGATAAGAGGAGGAAGGAGCATCAGGTATGTTGGCCGCCTTGGTTCATTCATAAAAATAATAAAGGCAGGATATGAATGAATGAAGAAGTAGATTGGTTTGGTTGGATTTCCCCAAAGCATCTGGCGGATCTGTGGTTGGGAAGGGGCAGGGCCACCTGGGGGTGGGGGTGGGGGGCACAGGGTGCTTCTTTTCTTGGCACGCCCTCCATTCTCAGGGGCTCCCAGGGGCAATCAAGGCCATCCTCAAATCAGAGGAGTTCCTAACTCCCAAACTCCCAAGGACCTTTGAAAGTAACAGAATCAAAGAAACGCCAGGCTCCTTCATACCAAATGCTGACCCAGATGCCCTCAATTGGGGGGGGGTCTCTCCTCTCCTGTCACAGCCCCCCCACTCCCCACCCCAGCTCCTCACCCAGGCCGGTGATCCGGAGCAGGTGCTGCGTCCCCTGCCGGACGGAGGGTGACAAGGTCAGGTCCACGAAGGCCTTGATGCTGAGTTTGTCCACCAGGCTGAGCCAGAAGTTGTAGTGAGCCTGGATGGGGTCCGAGGGCATCGTATCTGCAGGAGAGGCAGCAAAGATGGCACCGCCAAGGCCCACCGGCACGGTGAGTGCATAGGCCGAGGGGGCAAAAGATGCCTCCCCCCCCATGATTCTGGGGTTCGGTCTTTCTGAACCCTGCAACCCGCCCCCTCCCACACCCAGGATCCATGGCGTCCCACGGAAGGGGAGCCCCCGGGAGTCTGCAGGGCCCTACCCAGGTCCCCGATCTCCACGTGGCCCAGGACAAAGAGGCCTCCCTTCTTCAGATGGTTGATGAACCTCATCAGCTGAGATCCACCGCGAGGGTTGGCCACCATTAGCAAGATCTGCGGCCGCCAAAACTTGACATGGTCCTTCCGGATGTCGAGCAGCAACAGGTACTTTCGGACCTTCAGGGGGGAGTTAGAGGAAGAAGGGAAGAGACCCCCTGTTAGCCCCACAGGAGACATTTCCCCCCCTGGTCTTCAGCTCGCACTGCACACGTTGCCGCCTTCTCTGCAGGTGGTCCTTGACTTACGACCACAACTGAGCTCAAAATTTCTGTTGCTGAGAGACAGTCGTTAAGTGAATTTTGTCCCATTTAGCACTAGCCCTACAGACTTATATACAGCTTCACAGCGCTTTGCAGCCCTCTCTAAGCAGTTTACGGAGTCGGCCTCTTGCCCCCAACAATCTGGGTCCTCATTTAGTGAGCTTTCTTGCCACAGTTGTTAAGTGAATCACCACAATTGTTGTTAGGGAGACGGTTGTTAAGTGAATCTCGCCCATTGGCTTTGCTCGTCAGAAGTGGCCAAAAGGGATCGTTTGACCCCAAGGCAGGGAAACCGTCATAAATACGAGTCAGTTGCCAAGTGCTTGAATTTTGATCATGTGACCACAGGGATGCTGTAACGGTCATAAGTGTGAAAAAATGGTCATAAGTCACTTTTTTCAATGCTGTTGTAACTTCGAATGGTCACTAAACGAGGAGTACCTGTACACGGCCACCAAAGTAGATCCTGTCCTGCTTTTAGTTTGCCTGCTTTGCTCCCACCCTTGTGCATTACAGGTAGTCCTCAACATACGACTCCTCATTTAGTGACCATTCAAAATGACC